TAGTAAAAATTAAAATGGTGCAAATTGAGGCTATCAGTGTCCCTGATTCATATTAAAAGTTTAGAAAAACCTATTTACGATCCCTTTAAGGTTACCTTAGGTTCGAGTACACAAACAGGGATAAATACCTGAACCGCATTATCACGTAACTCGAATAATGACTCTATGAAGCTTCAACCATTCTGACTGATAGAGCTACATCCCCCTCTATTTCAGACAATATCAAATCGTTTAAAACATGAGTTTGATTTAAATTGGTCAAGCGTAAAATTTGTGGACAATTAAATTTAGGTCGTTCTATTCAGTCAGATTGCATTGAAGGCCGAAGAGAAAATCACGAAATAGTGAGAGGGAAAGTGTTAATACAACCGACAAAGGACCCTGAAAGGGGTGATAGACATAAAAAGGTTGAAAAACCCTAAAATCCATATATTCGTGTACGTGCGTCGCTGCTTTAACAAATACCTTAATACCAAAAACGTCACAACGAAAGCAGCGCACTTATATGCAATCAACTTTGGCACGTGTCAATAGATTTCTGCATAAAATATGTACAGAAAAACCTGTTAAAACTTGCATGGAAGAGAAACAATATTTACATTACAGTTCGATAGCCTTTATTGATAACTGATATTATACCATGAATACACAGTGCAGAAGATCTACAGACAAACAGCACGTGTCTGACAATGGCCTACTACGACTCGGCAGATAAAAAAAATGTCCAATAAATAAATGTATTGATATCATTAGACAGAACATGTTAATTGAAAATCAGACTTTTATGATGTGATGTACAGACAATAGCCGACATTGATTCGGTCTAATTCCAGATAACAGATTAAAGTTATTGTTTGGGTATGATGTTTTCTTACATGATGCAAAAGGGTATTAACGGTACAGGTTTTGCTTCGGTACCATAAGCAACGATCATGCTGTACATTGATGTACTACACTGTACTTGAGCGTGACGAACGTACTCTACTTGATAGAAATGTTTCGTTCAAGTCCAAATCTAAATAAGAATATTGCAACGGTCTCATGTACTCTGTACGTGAAGCTATGACAATGTATATGCAAATACTGCAATCTACATGAAAGCCCTGGTCCTTATAAAGAAGCAATAGTATAAAACAAAGGAGCAATTCATGGTTCACGACAGTATGTTGGTGATACAGAACAGTTCAAACCCAGAGAAAATCAATTGAAATTCTACAATAAAAAATATTAGTAAACCCAAACCACAACTTTAATTTTCAGCATCAAGATATTGTTGAGTGAAATCAGTGTATTAAAAATAAAACAATAAAATGTCAACTCATCAATATATCAATATTAGATTCTATTCTGAGTGGTTTTTATCATGTACAATTCTCAATGACTGTTCGTTTCTATAAAAAGAGGTCAAGAGATAGACCAATGTGCTGAGTCAAGGAAATTCCATTCCGGAAACTAGACTAATAGTCACAAATTGGCCATGTTCATAGTGCATTGTACACATTTTAACACAATACCTGATTCCCCATCTGCTAATGTTAGTAGAGTCAAGAATGTGGCAAGAAGAAAGATATAGCAAAGTGCCCTCAGGTATTGCGCGAGGGGTGCTATTACGGTTGCTCCCTTGGCTCCAGTAATGATCACGATAAAAACTTAAATTTGGACGAGGAATTACGAAATACACATAAATTATTAAATCTATAGCTATGCCTGTTAGAAACAGGTGTATATTTTGAAGACAGGTTTTTTGCTTCAAAGGTATAATCCAATTAAAAAAATTCCAGAAGATTAACACGAGAAGTGGGCTGGAACAAGATTCTGAAGACGATGGCAATGACCTACTTTTCAATTTCTCAGCAGTCATAACTTCCGGTGTGAACGGAAGTGACTGGTCGCCATACTGAAGTAGTGAAGAAGGTTGTTCCGTTATAGCTAATGACTGATGAGTCAACGATCGCTTTGATAAATTTTCTACAGTCTATGTAATGATATATACTAACCACAATGTCACATGAAATATAGCATTCTTTGTTGTATCGAGAATACAAGTTTCTGATACAGACTGTACACGTTCGACCTCAACATCTCTTGGGTGTTTGATTGAAACGAAATTGTCTTTCTACCTAGATGTGCATTGAAATGATCCATTTCATTTCAGATTATTTCCACAGTCCATAATGCATCAGGTATAGAAATGGAATCTGAGCTTGCAACACCTAGCAGCTTCCGAGAGAAAAACCCAAAAAGTAATTTTAGAAACTTATATTGGATAATTGAAGCATTCCAAATCTATGCTTCTCATATAAAAATAGCAGGGCAAACGACCAGGAGTGGGTGAAACAGGGTTAGTTGTCTCTAGTTCAAGTTCTTTCTGACAGTCCTAACTTACAAGACAAGAGTCATCGTACCATCGATTAATAGGGGAAATCATTTACAGATTCATCATTTGATTTCTATAAACCTCTTTATTATCTCCCTTGCCTGTCAGCCTAGACAAAATATATGTCGGTAAGGGAGACAGAAACTCAGAAAATAACAATCTGGTGAATGTTTATAGGCGTATTTGACTTGGTAAACAATACAATTGTCATTTCAAACAAACAGATAAACATACTAACGAGATACTATTTTCGAGGGCGTAGACACTAACCTTTTTCTACGATAACGACACGAAGGGCCCTCTTTGCCTGAACTTCATATCTTCTCACTATCATGAATTGCCAAAGTTTCAGAATTTTATGGCCAATTACCTACCAAACGTGCTTCTTAAGTCTTCATAAAGAGAATACAGACAAGAACAGTGTTCTGAAAAAGGTTCCAGCAAGTTGCATTCCGTTTGTTTGATACAATGACCTATGTCCATGTTCACTCATGGGTTGCATTTGTGCCGTTTAACTGAGCAACAGAATTTAAAATATTCCATATTTCGTTTGATAAAAGAAATTTGTAGAAGTATTTAATGAATGAGGTTTGGACTAGAATATCCATTCAAAATCAGTTGGGAGATTCTTACGAGTTATTCGCCGGGCAGCTGCTCACCAAAGAAGTGGGACAACTGCAGTGAATATTCAATATTCAATGAGCACTACATGTTGACTGATACTGCGTCAAAACTCATGAGCAACTAACCGCCTACTTACCACAGCTCTAGCAATGAATACAAGATAGAAACAGACAGTAAACTTAGCCATCCACTAGTGTTTTATTTTATCGTTAAACTGCATGTTTGTTGTGATATATAATATCCACTCAATGTGCAGATAAAACCCTGGATCTTATCAATATACCTTCAGCCAGGTGTTAGCTACATGTCTATCATACTGATAACACAAACGAGGAGTGACATTGGGTGTAAATAATTGTTAGATCAAATTTCTAATTAACTTCTTAATTAAGAGTGAGTATAAATTATTATGGTTATCACGAACAAACTGCATGATGCTACCATATACTACAGTTCTACAGGTGTATTAATATCTCGTATGCAACTATCAAACTAGAATAACTTTGGTGCTGAGCGGTCCAATTGCATCAAAGTTATATAAATCATGATATCGTATGCAGCTGTCAAACTAAATAAAACCCACTGAAGATGACACTTGTATGGCAGGATCTAGAACTGATATTTGTATTACCAAACCGTTCCAGTAGAGGCCAATCCAGATCAATGAGATCATGTATGCAGCTATCAAACCTCAACCTACCAGACCTCATTCTTATATTTTCAAACCATTCAAATGTTTCAAAATTGAATGAATTACCAATCTCTTAAAAGGTATTAATCTGAAACAGGTACAAAATACCTAAATTTATCAAGATCTTGTATGTTGCTTTTAACTTAGCCCGCCAGCCTCTTTTCGCATATTGTTGTCAAGACTCTATTCCCTTTCCGACTGGTATTCGTCAAAATATTAGTATGTAGGTAGAGTTTCGGCTTTTCTCCCTCTACATAATATTGATCTACATATTGGTCATTAGACGATACAGAATTAATCGACTGACAGTAAGAGACTAATGACAGTAAACATTGTATTCTACAAATGTCACAGACGACAGACGGGGGTGATGGAGGATAATCGCCATCAAATACTATTCATATAAAAATACGTCTTGTCTCCGTCGACTTCGGATGATCCTACTGCCAATCTACTGAATTACTACTGAAATAAATACAATAGGCATTCCGACTAACAGTTGTGAAATTTACGTGGCCTGCAGTATCTTTCATCCTCCGATTCAGAGGAATTGTTCAAACTTCCGATTTTACTTAAAGATGGGTTCTCTTATTTTCTTTTATGAGAATGAAATACTTATATGAATAGAAAGTGTTGTAATGACTTGGAAAAAGTTTGTCTCACATGTCCATAATTAATTCATTTTAAGTGAAATAAGAAGAGAATTACCAACAGAATTACAATGAGTGACCGATCCAGAAAGGTCAAAATGTCTTTTTTTGTTTATCCAGATTGTACATTCATGGACATTTATGAATGTCTCCTTATTATATGCAATAATAACATAATGATATGATAAGAATACATGATAATTCATTAGAAACACCAACTAATCAAATAGTTTGCTTAATTTGACACTTAAAATAAGGAAAACCACCTTTAAACCCTTTACCAGAATAGTAGCTTTTAGCCTCTTTTCAACCAGTCAGTAAGGAAGTAACTTATGACTGTGCAATCGATCAAACTTGTATTATGCTGCGACGTGCTCTTTAGATTTTATATAAATCATATTTTGAAGAAGTCAGACTCAAAGGAACCAAATACACAACAGCAGAGACAGTCTATACAACCTGCTACTGTAACGTGGCTAATTTTACTTTTAAAAATAAACCATCGTAAAGTATTGGCTGGTATCTGCAGTGCTCGCCATTCACCTCCAAATTTTGTAATATCGTTCTATTGAATACAACTGGCAGGGTTTTGAAAAAGAGTTGACTGCCGAATGGTTTTGTCACAAGAAACGTGGAGAAAATTCAGAAAGAAACTTACCAGCCTTACAGGGATCCATATATACATCGTTAGAAGTTCTATGGGGGACTAGTTGAGCATATGTTAACCCCCTGCCACCGTCACGTGAGGGCAATAACACAGATATATCACAGAGAAATGTAATAAAAAGTATAACACACTGGGTTATATGAGGCAACATGTTGAAAAGGTTCTCAATGCTAAACACTTGTATTTTCCTTAATAATAACCTCTACACGGAGTAGGCCACGATTTCACTGAGTACAATAATACACAGACTGACGTTTCTTAAAGTTCACTGATATGGCATACAATCTAGCTAGGCTAATTTCTTCTATCCAGTATCAGCCTTTTTCTATTAAATTTCTAACAGCAATTCTTTATAATGATATAAGTTCTATAAAAATTAAAATACTTCAATTTAAATACATCAAAATGATAAAATCACAATATCCTACTGTATTCAAATAAATAATTTTAGTATTTAAACTTCGACGAACTCTACTGAGAGTTTTTAACTATTAAGTTGTCGATCTGTTAAGCGATAAACCCTTCAAACACAATTCGTTAAACTTAATTCACAGTCATATAATTGATGTGAACCACAGTTATATATTTAAATAAACTCACATAAGTTTTTTTTAACATCCATTCACAATAACGACTGCAGTTTTTATTGACGCCGATTCACTTATATACGTTTACACAAGTTTTAGTATAGGCCTGTTGGTTTATGATATATACTTATATATCTCTCATATACTCTTCAAGACGCACTTGCAGGAACTCTAACACAAAATAGTCTTCTACTGAGAAGTCTTTAAACACAGACAAATGTTGGAGGATTGAAGTAAGTTTAATAAAAGTTTTAACTTATATTTACAATAATATGCGCGGGAGAAGAATAATAAATCGTTGCATCAGTCGCTAGTATTTTCAAATTCTGAATAAATTCCAAATTCTATATTCCACTGTTATTGCAGTTAGTCTCTTATATTTATTAATATATTCCACAGACACGTGTATCTTGAACTTCAATTGGTATATTGAGTAATCGTCATATTGTTCGTGTTAATATTGAATCCCAACACCCACGACTGGCCCACTTTTTAAATTGTCATATCCTAGAATTTAACACGTATCCATTATATATCACTACACATACAAACACGTATTTTATTGTCAAAATATAGCGTATTTTGCAAACAGGGCACCTTAAAGACCGACAAGCCAGACCGTTTTGTACCCGTGACATACAAGAACTTTACAGCACTCGTTGCAACTTACTGTAACACAGCTACGGACGGAGGTTTAGTCATTCTCGTCTCTATCACAAATCACAGCAGGGTTCCACTACAACTCATTAACCACCGTCTTGTATCGTTCCAAATTGTTCCTGATACTCTACAAGCCGTTCCTGGCTAATTTCTGGCTTTTCAATTCATTCCCCAGCAGACGAAATCACTTTGTTGAAGATTGAAGTCAGCTGGAACAGATTACAACCTGTCAATAACTATTACTTTAAACCAATCAAATGTCAATAAATATTACCAACAGCCAATCAAATGTCGTTAAAGGCGTTCCATATATCGTCTTGGTTCTAGCGTATGATAGATATAAATTGCCCCACGGTCTCTCGGCCATATTACAGCCCAATTGAGATTGCAATGGATTCCAGCAATTGGTGTAATCAAGCAGCTAAAACTTTTTAATAAAAAAAATACTGAAACTGAATTGATTGCTCAGAGTTAGCTCCCCTTTTCAAACGAGAATTTCGCAATAAGCACCATCTGATTAAAGTCCAGATTTGTATTTTTTGTTTTGTGTTTTGTTTTTATGTCGGTTACTACACTTCTTATTCTTGATCTGACGAAATTCTTCTCAAAATCGTGTTCTGTGGAATGATGATCCCAATAACATCAAAAGTCAGCATAGTGTATGATAAAATTGTTGAAATTGACAATGAAAGTCAGTGATTTAACGCTAAATGTCTAAAAGTTTCTAACATACAGTGACGAAAATCTTTCATTGAACGAAGCATTTGATTGGTTAAGTATTAAATGATTCGGGTTTATGAGATGCATATTGTAAGATCATCGATGGTAAACGATCTCAACGACAGTCAGAACACGAAACGAATCATTCCGATTCGCATTTTAATTAAATCGTTGTAGACAGGTATTGTGATGATCATTTAATCAACTAAATCAGGTCGTACGGTGGAATAGTTGTCCAAATTGTTAAACGGACAGATTCGCCATTTTCGGGGGTTGATTTGGGTCTTGAATATGCATGTATATAAATAGTCTTCTAATGTACCAGAATTGTACGAAAATCAAAGATACTTCAAACTAAGAATTTTACTGCCTATTTCTATATGTGTGTTTTCTATATATCACAGAGTATTTTAAAATGACGAGTCGTCTTTTTAACTTTTAAAAGCGGATAATTCTTTACACACATGGATTTGAAGGCTCAAATTTCGACGGTGGGCTGTGAACACGTTTACTGATTAGCTCAACTAAAAAAATATCCAGTTTGTGTAACTGAGGTACGATAGGTAAAAAAAAAAAGTGTGTCTGTGCCTTTAAAGTTTAGTGTTGTTCAAATATATAATGAATAATATTAACATAAGTCTTTGATATTGACAAGGAAGGTAATCTAACTAACCGTCGATAGACAAGAAATTAAAACTTGTTAGCATACTGGTTAATCAATTTACTTTTTACTTGAAGTCTCGCTTGACCAGACGTTATTACAATTAAACACGGTTCATTGACTATTATTAACCTCTATCAATAATATAAGTCTGGTTATCCGAGATGCCTTATTAGGTTAGTCGCGGTTGATTGGGTTTGTTATTGATCTCTATTAATTATTAGTAAAACAATAACAAGTGGAAGAATTAATGAAGAAATATAATAAAGATCAAGCTTTCTTTATCGACCATCAGACTTTACATTGTTGTCACAAGATCATAGGTTTTTTATGGCACAGAATATCAAACAAAAATTCAAAAACTAACGGTACATGCTATCGTAATCTTTATTAAAATAAGTTTCCTTTTTGTTTTCTAATACTTATTGTCTCAATAGTAATCTAACACTGGCGTTATATTTAACCAATGAAAGCGTGTCAAATAGAACCGTCTCTTCATAACTTAATGAGTAGCGGGATAGCGAAATCCAAAGAAGTGACATTTGATAGCCATTTTTGTTTAGGTTATCCTACAATTCGTCATCCATATAAGAAACGGGTTGCAGCTCTCTATGAGTATCACGGGACCCTGAAAGTTTCTATTTGCACCATTTCACTAATCGATTTCTATATTTCCAGGAGACCCAGAGAATTTTAGACTTTTACGTCAGTATCGCAAGTGCTCTTAAAACTAAATGGTGTCGCCAGAATCAAGTTTTTTTCTCGAATAACAGGAACTCTTACAGGAAATAGAAATAGTATAGATAGAAGGATATAACGTATATATAATATAACATGTAGGCCTATGCTAGAAAACCATTTTTGAGCCTACGACTTTCAAAAAAAGTTCTAAAAGATTAACGAATTATTCAAGATTTTTTTCAGTGTAAAGATGCATTAACGTTTCAACGATTTAGATATATTCTCTCGACCTATGAGGCTTTTGAAGTCCGAATGGTCAAATCCCCTTCATAATGGACCAAAGTGACCGATATATCTGTACATGCCTTTGTGACCAACATTTGACCGATGAAGTGTCGGTGGGAAGGGTGAAGATTGTTTAGTCTAAGATGAAACGTTTTAACGTTAGACACCTCATTACAGACTGGTCGTTAAGACACAATGGCTGACATCAAGGCTAATATTGACTAGGTGATCTTAGGACTTTCTTATCTATTGTAGACCATCACATAGATAGAGAGGCGAGTTGAATAGAGGACCAACTAATCCTCACCGCCAATATTTACCCAGCTTCACCATTGAAAGAAAAATCAGTGTGATTAAGATGACGAGCTTGATAATCAAGACTTTGACATGCAGTCGAGATTAACAAGTTGTGTACATTTAATTAAGACCAGTCCAGTGAATAATTATCATGAAGTGTAAAGCGAGGAAATCTTTAATTATTTTTCACCCTTTCATCCTGGGTGTTTAATACAGTTGATGTTGATCAATTGTCGTGAAATGTACGTGTATATAATTATATATATTATCACTATAATTACCACAACTCGCTTGATTGACTAAGATACATAAAGATGTTAGCGAGAGCTTGGTAAAATGAGAAGTGAGAATATTTCTGCCTCTGTATTACTGTACGGGTTTTAGTTTCATCTTCTACAATTTCTATATATAGTTACTTACTCGACCAATGCTGATTGTTTTATGAATTATAGCCACGTGTATGTTAATAAAATGCTTTCCCCATTTTACGAGGACTAGTTTTACTATTTTGTAAAGGACCGGGGTTATCTACAATTCCAAGATATGTATTACATCCAACAGAACAACTCTCAACGATCCGTATCAAGAGTCACGAATCTTATCCTATTCTTACCGATTTACCGAAATACAGATCTTTTGAACATTTCACTAATGTAACATTTTATGCCCAGTCCAAAATCTAATATCAATAACCTTTTCATTCCCAGTCTTCATAAACTTAATGATCAAAGTTCGGTTAGTATTTAGTAGAAATTTGCACTTTTTGATACACGAATGATGTAAGAGTTTAGGTTGAGACGATAAACTTTACATTTAAATTTGAGAGAATTTCTCCTTATTGAACATGTAGCGCTCTACAATCTCATTGAAGCTGGGTTTTATTTTACTTGGAGCAAAGTTCACTCATATTAACTTTTAAATTGGCATCATAAATGTCATTTTATTCTTTATCTGTTGAAATTGAAAAGAAAAGGGCACCAAACAGATGTTAGTTAGAACGCAGAAAAACAACACAAATTTCAATGACGTCATTCAAACAGGTGCCCGTTGTCCGGTATCTCAGATGACAAATTGTGATGACGTCATGTGTATTAAATGTTTATCGGCAATGATCACGTTTCTTTGAAAAATGTAATTTCTGATGCTAAACAATAATTGGCGTGGTTTTATTTTAATTACTGGGCGTATACAATTTGAACATTTTCCTAAATCTTATCAAATTTGATCACGAAATGTCACCTCTCACTGGGTATTTAAGAATTTTGAAAGGTCTTTGTTTACGTTTAATATCTGTAATTATGTCTTAAGACTAAAACAATCTTATCATTCTGTTTGTCTTGCTGTCACTTGTAACTGTTCTTAAGATTTTACACAAACATTGTCATCAATGGGAAACTTAAAAGTTATTAAAATTCTGCATTTTCATGAACAAGTCAAGGTTTCGTTTCTTGTAATAGAGGCCTATTGCGAAAATGATCAAATTTATCAAAACACAGATAGTTTATTGGTGAGACAATCGTTAAAAATAGTATAACATTTGGTCAATTCAAGATCTTGAACCCTCTCATACGCTCAATACATCTATGCACTTTTCGGAGTTGTCGAATTTTGAATCTCAACCGTTGGCAGTTGTCCCCTATATATTACCTTGGGAGGCTGGTACCACCACTGCTTCCTAGTCTGATTATTATGCAGACCCTGTCATCATCTTGAGCATACCATGTCAGAGTCCAATAATTGACAATGGGACTTAATAATAGAATAACGCAATGAAAAATTAATAAATAACCCAGCAGTTTGATGACTGTATAGACAATAATATGAAGCGATGTATGGAAGGGGATTTAAATCACAAACAAAATTGTTGATTACTCCCCATTCTCAACTATTTTTTTTTTATAAACAATATTTTATTAATACATTAAATGGATTGGGGAACAGGCTTATGCCTATATAACTATTCTCAACTATTTTACAAGCCACTATACTAATAACTTGATATACTGGTATTATTTTATTATTACCACTAGGTCTGCTTGTCCCGGGGAGGCAACTTTCAAACTAAGAGCGTTATCTTATGTGAAACAGTTTACCTAATCTACTGAAAGCTTGCCTCCATTCTAAACCCCGTTAGTAATGATTCTCTCTATTATAAAATAAAATGCAGACTCCCACTAGATGAGGGATAGCTTACAAGAAGCTGAAAAGACTTCTATATCTCTACCACACGATAGTTGTTATTATGATAGACGATATGACTTGAAAGTATAGTTGTACGGATTTTCCATAATATTACAATAATATTTTCACAGGTAAGCAATTGCAGGGCGAGAGCGATAGACATGCTATCATTAAAACAATTTTATAGTGTATATTGTTGCTTCTTAATGCTATACAGTGGCACGAATGCCCCGCCATAATGATACGATCATTAAAACAATGGTATATATTGATAGCCCCAGTGGGAGGTGAAGAAGGTCAATAGAACTGCTCTGATAATCTTCTAATCTCATATTTCAATTAAACCCACAGTATTGATCAGATAAACCATGATACTGCATTCAGATACCTTGTGGTCATTGATTTTGTCTGGGTAGATAGACGTTCAGGGAAATGCCAAGGCTAATTTGAAATGTTTTTTACTGTGTGTCTGACACCAATTACAACCTAGACTTTTCGTATTTTTAAAGGGATATAGTGGTTTACATATATTGCAACTCTCTGTAATTCAAATTACAGTCACGTCTAGGGCGTTATTACCAATTCTGAGTGAATGTATTTCCGATATTATGACATCGCCGATATCACTGCCATTGAGGAAATAAATATCACCACACCACACTACAATCTGTTCTGATCAATGACATCCGCACCAAACCTTGGTGTTTTTTAATTGCGAGAGAATGTAAATTGCGAAATTAGTTACGGTACCTTATCAGCAACTAAAACAAAATTCTAGACTTCTATATCCCTTTAAATATTTTTGTATATCATAGGTACCATTTGCATGCTCTTCAAGTATAAGATCCATGTCAATGACAGGTGTTTCTGGTTTGGCAATATAATAGTTGATTCTAGTACTCAGAATGAAACGGTATGGGATCTGGTTATATCAAATAATATTTTATGGTTAGTAGAATACATGATTTATGGAGGTGTTTTTATTATAGAATCTGACGAAACGAAATCAGATGTTGTAAGTTTTCAGACCGACTTTTTATGATTTATGTAATGTATTTCTTTTCCTGGCTTTTCTATTAACCGATTATTGAAAACTAATTGAAATCATTTCACTTTTCTTTTTTTTGTGAAAGGGGCAGTCTTACCAGTTTACAAGTGCATATTTTGTTTATCATACATATACGCGATAGGAAGAGTTACATACAGCTAAACTTTGAAAATCTGTTGTTAAAATGTGTGTAACCAATGATTATAGACATCAATGAGAAAACCAAAATTTACTTATCATTCTTCTTGGAGAGGGGAGATAGGACACAATGTAATAACTTTGATGATGAATTCTTAAGTCTTATTAACCTGTTTTTAAACTATGATATACATGTAAATATTTCAAAATATAACTTTTAGATATGCCATAACAACAACTTCTACCATGTCGTGTCCTTTACCCCACCTACAGTCGTGGCTTCTGTATTCAACCATTCTTTTAATGATGTTTCAAGGCATCGAAGTTATTCCACGAAACCGACTTTACACTATGACGTCAATATACTAGCACTCGATTTTCACTCAATGAATTCACAGATAATTGAACAAGTTGATTGCGTACAATTCATTTTCTTCGTCAAAACTTTGAAATTTGAACCAAAATACAAACTTGTAAGATTATCAAGACGTAAATAACATCAACTTTGTTGAAATGATAAGAAGGACTTGATAATCGTAATATGTTATAATATGAAGATTGACGTCATAATGTTAATTTACGATTATGTCGACCTTTGTGCGATGTTTTTGTGTTTAATGAAATTTTATGATAATATGAACTTTGATTTATTCCAACGGTACATCGATTTAAAGAAATCTACCCGAAACCGCATGTTAGGAAACATCATCGATGTTCTGTGTTTCCATAACCCGAGGTAAATAATGCATCTATTAACTGTACAATAATGCACTATGCTGAAGAATATAAGCTAAATAAGGGGATATCATTTGTTACTTATCATATTTACTGTGTTTCTTTTGGCATATCGATATTACCGTCACTACAGGCCCCTTTGTGCTCCCCGTGTCTTTTCCCCAATATCAGCAAATGCAGCCGATATAATGAATTTATAAAATAAACTGTGTTTGGAATGTTGCAGTGTACACACACGTATGTTCTGGCCATTGCTAATCTCTGGAAGCTATGCGAATGAACTCGAGGTATTACCGATTACGCTCACGGAGTATAGCAGAGGACGGGTAATGGTCACGTCACACCATCCCAGTAGGTTGAACTCCCAGAATCCGTGACGCACCTTTTAAAAAGCAATTTGGCCGGACGTTTTAACTATACTATGTGATGTTTTTTTTTCTCTTTATCTATTTTCTGTTTTATCAGTTATCTTTATAGTAATAATTTTGTGAAGTGCCGTGAGACGCCGCAGACATCAATATATATTATTATTGTTATTAGCATAAAGCTGACAGGTTGAAAAATGAACTGGAAAACACAGTTATGTTCAATCACCAGTCTTGCGATGGAGTATAAAGCCAAGCTAAGAACAATGAGTTTTTCAGATTATTATTTAGCTGCTAGATTCCTATGCTGTTTGTAGTGCTAGTTTAGAGTATTATGGATTATTTTCATGATTATTGTACCAAGTTTGGTTGTGTTCACTTTTGTGCTATAACAAAGACTGGATTTCATTTATTTGTGCTAAAAAGATCCACTTTGTTATTTGCCAATACCCAATTCTCATATCTAACTTAGAGATTTATTTGAAGTATATTTTGAAGGGGTTTATGTGTTTTCTAATAAAAGCTGACTAATATTCACGAGATGTCAGATTCAATCGAAAAATATAATCTTGACATAAACTGACAATGGGTAAGGTACACTTACTCGTGGCGCAAATTGATGCTTTCATTGTCCCAGATGCACATACAAAATTTAGAAAACCTCTTTACAATCCCTTTAACTAGTTTCATGACCCTTCGGATTCACCAAGTTTTCTAAATCTCGGTATAAAAGAGAATATCTAAAGAGACACAAACGCTTGGGCAAAGAAGAATAAACGTTTTAATAAAGCTAACAAGATAATATATAAATAGAAAAATATGAAAATTCAACGGCGTGCAAAAAGAAAAGATTAACAATAAAATGTTTCAAAAGAGCTTGAGATGAAATATCCATATTTAATTGCAAAGTATCTTAAGGTTTTAAAAACGGTAAATATAAAACTTCGAAGTAAACACGTTTGCTTTGTGGTTGCATAAACAAACGCATTCATCCACATTGCAAAAAACAAAAGTCAAATTCTAATAACATGCATTTTAGTGATTATAATAATACAGTGTATTATAATTATATACATCACAGCACTCTGAGCCAAGTAATATAAGTAATAATATAAAGATCCTATTAAGGTCTGTTAAAAATATACAATTTAAAATAGAAAGCAAACACCTCTTAAAAAGATTAGGGCTTTCGTCTCCATAAGAGATTAACCAGGCTCTACATTGTTATCTAGTAGGTCGTTATAACTTTAAGGTCGTTATAATTTTAAGTTATCCGTAAGACCTTATTAGACATGTAGATGATAAAGTCGCAAAGGGTCGTTGAAATCAATTAGTATACTAGTAATTGAAAACTTCCATATACAATGAACATCGGAATATTAGAAAAACATAAAAAAAAAACACAGGCACTACAATGAGAAATTCTAAGTTTAAAAAATTAAGATCCTGGAAGACATAATACTCATGTAACACTGTCATAAGAATATCAAGACGTATCATATCCAATAAAGCACCATATGTCTTGGAAAAATCTACTCTTAGGAAGACGAGGAATAAACGATGGGAATGCGATAAAGTATTTGTTCTGTGTACCATACAGTTTATGTATAGCACAGAGGTAGATAAAGAATTTGACCAAAAACAATTGAAAAAGGCTAATTGTGCGTCAAGGTATTTTCAAGTAAAAATAACAAATATTATTCATTGTGCCGAAAATAAATATCCCTTTCCCCGTGGATGGCACCAGGTAATTTTGATAACCACAAACGTCAATAAATGACCATCAGATAGCATGCCTCTGACTATAAAAATGTATGAATCTCTCAGTAAACCACATTGCAACTATATATTCTTCCACCTTTAAAATAGTCCCACTTGTTTTTTCATTGCGGTTCGCTTCCATTGTGGTTTTGCTAAATACTCTTCTCGTGACATTTTAAAAACCAACTTAAAATCATCATCTGATAGATGGGCCTGGAACAAAGAATGAAACAGTTAATTGTATTTGCCGTTTGCAACTGTTTGCAGTTTGCAGTACACTTTCATCAGGTTTCGATAGTTTCGCTTCATGTGCTTAGTTTCCCATTTAACCAAAATATAAAACACTTATCACTTATAGCTGAATAAAATAAAAGCAGGCATTAGATATGACTAATCGTTCTCAAGGCAACCTGTTTTTACAATGGCTGAATAGGATATGTTATAAGTGTTTCATTTGTATATGAATAAAAAGAAATGTTGTCTCAGGATTTTGATATTTACAATATTTACTGACCTCTTTCTCTGTAGGATCAACACCAGGTGGTGGGGTTCTCTTCAGTAATTCATCGTAACTATATGCTTTAGAAAAATTGGCCAATTCCTAAAAGTATATAAAAATGATCTTGTCTATATTGCGAAGAATATCAAATATTAATTTTTCTTAAAAAACATGTTACTTCATGACTTAATTTAATACAAAGTTAAATGTCAAATTAAAAAAAAATTAATAATCATAAACCACTCACCTCTTCTACTGTTGTAGTTGCTACATTTTCCTCTCCCAGTTCTTTCTTCAGCTCTTCATACGTTTTACCATGCTGTTAATATAAAATTATATATGTACATTGATTATATAATGATCCAAGAAAACCAGAAATACCCCATGAACAAATTATGGTAGTTAAGGGATGTAAAGAGGTTTTCTAGCAATGTGCATTGAAGCTATTTTCAAGGATTATATTTGCATCATTTCATTCAGGAATCACAGACATCTACAGTGTCCCGGATACCCATAAAAACTTTAGACAATCTCTTTACAATCCATTAAAACAGCTTACTGAAGACTGACCTCATCAAATATGTACATGTATTTTTTTTAGGACACGGCTTTATGGAACAACAATCACTGGTTAAAGTTTTATGCAACGTTTCGACGTGTTTCCCCCGTCGGCCTCAGGCACAGAAGGTCAAAATGGTTGGTAGTCTATATATTGGTCAAATCAAGATCAAAAACAACCAGAATTCTAACTGCTTATAAATGCTTTCTATGAATGCTTGAGGTCAACAAGGTACATTGAAAATAGTATGACTGTAAGAGTCTATATAAAACATGACTTACACTCCATTTCTCAGGGTCCCAAGCATGGAAATGTCCAGTGAAATTGGGAGGTTCAAATCCTTGTTTAATTTGTACTATTTGAGTATTATCTGATGTTCTACCAGCAGGGTCTGTTCTAATATACTCTAGAGCAGCAGTTAAACTGGCTTTCTTCTCTTGATGATTAGCTCCCCTTCCTACCCACACAAATATCTGAAAAATAGTTTTAAAAAAGTAGAAAGGATAAATAAATAACTGTTTTTGATCATTCAGTAGTTTTCCTTTAAATAAATACCTCATAGTCTTAAAATTCATATAGCGTACGATTGAAATTCTCAGAAATATCGCGGGAATATGCTTGAGTTAGCTTCATGTTAGCTGAAATCAACTGATAGTATGTATGAAAAAAAAAACACTTAAATAATTCAAAATTATAACTTGGTAATATTTGTTTTTAATCTGAAATTTAAACGAAATGTTTCTGTGTCAATGTCCTTCCATACATTTAACACAGTAAACTGTCAATATACCTAGCACAAACAGCTAGTCCAATAACCTCTTGTGTGGATATGGAGTGTCAATGAAATAAAATATGAATAGTTACCGCATCGCTGGCATCTAATAACATTACATCATCTTCTACAAGATCCTATAATATACAATACATATTAATATACAATTAATATCACTATACATAACATACAGATATACATTTTACACAACTATACAATATACAATGCACGTAAATATGCAATTAACATTACTATACGATGCACGTAAATATGCAATTAACATTACTATACAATACACATAAATATACAATTAATATCACTATACATAACATACAGATATAGATTTTAAACAACTATACAATATACAATACACATAAATATATACAATTAACATTACTTTACATAACACATAAATATACAATACATAATATCACAATGTACATTATTAAATACTACATATAAATATACAATACACAATATCACAATGTACATTATTAAATACTACATATAAATATACAATACATAATATCACAATGTACATTATTAAATACTACATATAAATATACAATACACAATATCACAATGTACATTATTAAATACTACATATAAATATACAATACATAATATCACAATGTACATTATTAAATACTACATATAAATATACAATACATAATATCACAATGTACACTACATATAAATATACAATACATAATATCACAATATACATTATTAAATACTACATATAAATATACAATACATAATATCACAATGTACATTATTAAATACTACATATAAATATACAATACACAATATCACAATGTACATTATTAAATACTACATATAAATATACAATACACAATATCACAATGTACATTATTAAATACTACATATAACTATACAATACACAATATCACAATGTACATTATTAAATACTACATATAAATATACAATACACAATATCACAATGTACATTATTAAATACTACATATAAATATACAATACACAATATCACAATGTACATTATTAAATACTACATATAAATATACAATACACAATATCACAATGTACATTATTAAATACTACATATAAATATACAATACACAATATCACAATGTACATTATTAAATACTACATATGAATATACAATACATAATATCACAATGTACATTATTAAATACTACATATAAATATACAATGCTACATATTTCAGTACATTACACCTAAAAATACAGGTTTATTATTACAATAGATTGTTACACATTACGCGTTCATTGATTTGAATCTAGGCCATTGAAGAATTTCTGTAAAATGGCGTTAACTATTGTTCAAATGGAACTCGTCAGTAGTTTGAACTGAACGGAGAATCAAAATGCACACTTTAAGTTCTGAAGGACTCGACAACACGAGTCTTTCTATAAATTAAGAGAATATTTACATAACGTATATTTTGACATAAACTTTACTTTTCAATCTCTTTCATAGAAAAAAAACCTTTCAAAACATATGGAAATATTTATCCGTTTAATATTCTAATTATATAAAGTAGAATTTATGAAACTTTTGTTTAAAAACACAGTGTGTGGTCTGTTTTGCTAATGATATAATTAGTAACATGCACGCGCATCAATCACACACCTGTAATGTACGGACTTTATTGTAAATAATTATTAACTTTAATGTTATCCAGTACAATGTCTGTTAAAATGATCAGTTCAAATATTTTCTAATGAATGGACCACTGAAAATTTTATACAAACATTGAGAAATTGCGTTAGTATTTTTTGTACATCTTGTTTAAAATATGAAATTAGATAATTCGGTTACATAAGGAGTAAAAGTACATGATGTAATGACGTAGGAGTTAGTTCCTGATGTTGTAATAGCATTAAAGAGCACATCGTATCCGGGTTCAATACAGGATTGGAGTCCGATTGGAACTAAACTCACGTAACATCTGATAAACCAAATTATTTCCAAACGAAGTCCAAAGTCCAATTTTATTCACCAGTTTTCAAAATAGGTCACAACTCGTATTCAATTACCATACCAGTATAATATAGTTAGAACAACGTTAAAATACGATTTCACTATCTACAAGATCAATGAGTCCACTCCCTCCCTATTCGTTTTACGCCATGCCATTGTACATGATGTGAGGCGATGTCAAAGTGAGACATAGTTCTGCTGAATTTTTTAAACTACCATAGAAGAGGAAATACATCAGGGAATCAAATGAAGACTGTTCCTTTAAAAATAATATCAACCTCTTACCTCTTGATCAAAGTTGATAATTTCTTCTAGTTTAAACTTTCCGGAGGCATTGGAGCATTGGAACAATCGGCTTGGTAAACCATTTTGAGCACTCTGAAATGTAAAAGGTATGTATCTACAGCACAAGCATTTCCGATCCAATGTATGCTGTTAAAACAGCGTTAAACTTCTCTACAACTTTCGGACCTATGCTTTTTGTCGATGACACGGGAGGGGGTATTTTTGTGCATAGAGGGAACATTGCAAATACAAAAAACTTGATGAAAATCTACTGTATCTTCATCAAATTGGTACGGCTTAGAATGGGTGTTTCACTCCCTAGAGTTTATATATGAATATCGCACGTTCCCAGTGGCGAGGCCAATGGGGGAGGGGAAGACGGGGTAGCCGCCCCTCACAGCCCCGAATGCCCAAGTTGTTCGGGCATGCCTCCCACCCTCGGACGTCAACCTGGCTCCGTCACTGCACGTTCCTTCCCCTTCCAATAAACCACAGTGAACGATTGTACTAACCTCAAGTCGTGGACCTGTAGCGTACTCTTCCTTCTCACCAACAATTCCCCAGAATTCTTCAGTTTCTTCTCCTTCCTTGACATCAGTTACCTCTCTACAAGTAATAAAGTGTATTGTAAGGTATGTGGACGCTTGGAAATGATGCCGAACTTTACATCTACATTCTGTTTTTCACCAAACTGAATATAATGCAAATAAGGATGTCTCCTTAAAGTATAGTTCTTACACAAAAACTACTTGAAACGTACCATCTAGATTTGAATCTCAATATAGACTCTCAATCATTCAACCTAAAGGAACAGAACACATTTGCTGCCTTTTGTGAAATACACAGATGTTTGGTGGAATGCATGGCACATAAACATGTTCCATACAACAACAGGTTCATTCGTTTAGTAAAAAAAATAGTAGTGGTGGAAAGGACAACAGTCTTGGACTCCATAAACGCCCAATGCACTAAAGACAATGGGAGACAATATCTTAATAATAATATCACTTTCAGATACTGTACCTATTAGGACAAATAAACTGGACAACATTTCTGGCTACCGATACTTCGTCGTCACTGGCTCCCTACAACAAAAATAACGATATGAAGAATATTACCTTACCTAACATGGTATTTTGATTAGACATTGGTAGAGTTTATATTTCTTGTTATGTGAACAATAAAAATCTGTACAAGCAAGACATTTCCGTCAATCAAAAACCTCGTCATAAGAATGACCACATCGGGAGTAAAAGTTGCATAGTAGTGGAATCCTCCAAAGAGAAGTACCATCAGGTGTTTAACCATAACGCTCGTGGTTTTTGAAATCGCACAATGATTCAATGTCCAAAAGAAAGCGACAATGCTGTGTCTTTCTATTGGTATATTTTGTGACGGGTTTACAAGTTTTGTGGATTTTGTTGACTTTATAAAGGTCACCATGTTTCATACCAATAAATAATATTTTAAGAAACCATACCTTTCCAATCCAGACAAATAACTTGGAATCATCATGAACAACAAATACATCGTTAGAATTGAGAGAAGCACAGCGACATGGCACCTAAAATATGGATTGTATTTAGATCAACGTAATCAAACCGAATGCACTAAACATATGCCCAAAAGGTGCTGATCTATCTAACCAATGTTTGAGATCAGCAACTGAAAATGTTTATCTGTTATAGATAGTCTTTTGGAAATCAAAAGATGGATTCAAGACGGACAGTATGTTAACAAACGACTGTCCAACCATTTATAACTAAGGGTAGCCTGACAAATTCGGCCTTACACGTTCCTCGGGAGTGATATCGCATCCGTTTATTACACCCTAGGAACGGGTAGGGCCATACGTAATTTCGTATGGGGTAGAGCTAGTTTTGACGGACTAAAGTGAGGGTTAATGTTTTGAATACCAACTATTAAGTCTGAATATGTTATTACTAGAAGAAAATCACAAATTCAGAGCATTGACAACTCACCTGAACAGCACGTGTATTGACATCATTTGTACCTCGGATATGAAACATTTTGAGTGGTGTTTCTTCAATAACATTGTTAATACCTCCCATTAGTATCAACATCTTTCCTTTGAATAACCTCAGGAAGTGTTCCGGTTCTCTCCCTTGTACGACACGAATCTGTAAAGATACACTATTATATAAGTCAACATCTACAAATTGATATCTTTCTAAATCCACTGCTAAAGTTTAAATTTGCCATGGTGATGCCAAAGCATACACTGACACAGTGGAGTGTATAAACTATTCTAACCACAGAATATTTGATCGCGACTAATATCTGCTTGATGAGAACAATACATCATGTGGGTATATAGTGTGATAAGTGGAAAAAAAAATGGAAACGTAATTTTCTACAAATGCTACATGGAACATAAAAACGTCAAAATATGTACTGAGAAACTCTCAACAAGGGATGTAGACTCTGCAATCCTATCCCACAATGATATCAATCCTGAAGGACGAGCATGCCCCGTGTTTTTGTTTGTTAAGAACAGCCTACCTGAACTGCAGCACCATCTAATTCTGTATCGTCAAGGTTCTGAGCCAGTAGAGCTGAAGCTCCACGTTCATCAATAGTACTTTTATTACCCTGTTTATGAAAACAATAAAGAAATATGGATATAAACTTCTATTTATTAATATTTAAACACAACGTTTCATTACCAATACAGGCATCGTATCCCGAATATGGGTACCGTCCATGACACGCTGCTTTCGTTTTGTTTAAGTTCGCGAACACAGCGTCATAACGAGTGGTTTAATTTGATTGGTTGTGATTTCCTACAAAGATTCCAGGGCCAATTTTGATTGGACAATATTTATCTATGAATACGTAATTTTCCTCACGAGAATTACCACGACCCCAGGGAAGTATGGCGAATGGGGGTGTGGTTTGGACACGATGCCATTCAGGTAACGTTCTAAAGTTACCTGTATGTGTAATGAAACGTCCGCAATTAATTTTATTAATATTCTCTAAATTCGGTTATTAATTAAATTTTGCATCCTAATTTTTCAAATCATGTCAAAATCAATAAAAGTAATTCCTTGTGCTTACCTGCCAAAAGTAGATTATGTAATGATCTCGGTTTGATTTTTGATATGTATATAACAGAATATAACAGTCACCGGAATAGAATACACCATAGGTATCTTCTGGTACAGCCACTCGTTCTCTGTTCTCTATTCTCCAGATCTACATGACAAGAAAGATAGATCAATATCACTGGCAATAATAGTAATATTGACTCTCCAAAAGATATATGGAGTTGACAATCTTTGTAGCACAAGTATCCTTAAGTTGATATACATGCGTCCAAATTCCCGATGGAAAAGGCACAGATTGGTGTAGATAGATACTTTGGGATTCCCATCAAAGGGATAAAAGGCATAATCTTATTTCAATAGCCCGAAAGCTTGTTTTATCTTATATCTTTTAATGATATGTGATAACAAAACCAATCCGAAGCATACATGAGAACAGGGGTAGATAACCGCCTGGAAGATAACCCAGAATTTGGTTGCGTCTGGTACTTTCTATAAACTGACAATATAGTTAAACAGTGGATCACCAAGATAATATAATCTGAATATGTGATGCCTGGGGTTTTCAAAAGCCACAATAAGTACAACAGTAATTATGCCCATGCCTGTTGGTGTTTATATTAGCTAAGAACAAGACAACAGTGAACCACCCACTGGGATATGGGCCATTGAATAACGCACCTTTACAGTCCCAGATCCATCATCAGGCATGAAGCCATCACATTTGGGAGCAGGATGAGAATGGAGTTCAGAGACATCAAACTGTTCATCACTTTGTTCTGAAAATGAATTAGGAATTAAACGATTATTCTTAACCTCTGTATGTCTATCAGGATCACTAATAGCTTTCACCGATGCAACTAAGGTTCAAGAGCTGGTACTTGGACAAACTTGTTAGTATTGATCTTTCCCGTTTTCAGATGGGTCGTCTTGAATAATGAGGATATACGACTTCTGGAAGGTTAACAAACTTTCACACGCAGGCCCAGATTAGAACCCATGATGATTACGTATCTGGGGTGTCTTTATGTAGAAAAGGATCCAAAGGTTGGATATGTAGTGCAATGAAGCTTATTGACGAGTTAACCAAGATATTAGAAGTCTACCTACTCGCTATATTACTGCCTTCGTCAGGGGATACATGGCTGAAATCAGTCAATTTCTCAGTTTCCCATGAAGAGAAATATTGTTTAAATAGTGGTGTTTCAGCTCCCTCTACCAGGGAACTGATTGGTGTCCATTTCGGATAACCTCTTTGATTTAAAAACTCCTGAAATTTCGAAGCAAATAACGAATAACATAAATGGAAGTCATGAAAATAGTGGGTTAGTGGGTTCCCTTGTCCAATAGATCCAAGCCCGTATTAACTGAAGGTCCCGGAATTATCTATTTGAATCGACAGGTCAATCAAAGAATACAGCATCGCATAACCTGTGTCTTCGATTATATGATTGTAATTAATCATGGGGTCTGTGCCAATCTCTTAGATACAGGCCTGAATGGATTTAATTTATATTTTGCGGCTGCAATGTCCTTGAGTGTGTATTTAATCTCCTGTTATTCGATCAACATGTTTTACAATCTCCAGTTACCAAATAATAATCAATTTTTGTTAAATTATTGTGTACTCTGTGACCTTATGAACTTACCAGAGCATTTTGCCACGCTGAATTCTTTTCGTTTTTAGTACAGTTTTTACCAACCCAGACAAAGATACCACTGGGTCCAGAATCCAGGATAAAACAGTCCTGAAATAAAGGATCCCTATATTATAATTAACATAGACCTTATTTAAAGTGTGAATATCCAATGTATATTTATAAGCAAGATCGTTAGTAGCAAAAAAAAATTCCTTTGTTTCAGACATTCTTGAGACAGGTCTTTTATAATAATATGACGTTTGCAAGTAAAATCTTAAGAACCGTAAATGTCTAAGCTATGCATTTGTTTTTAAATTGTTGTGTGAATGTTGGATATTTTCGAGTACAAATCAATGATAGTAAATCGTTTCTTTCTGTGTTAAAGCTGCGATAAAAAATATGTACATATGTACGCAAACTCAAGATCGAAACGTTATTATATGAGTGCGTTCGATGATTCCGCAAAACCTTTAATGTATACAGAGAAATCGAGTGGTATTAGTTCTGGAAATAGATGATAAGATGTCATAAAGGGGATTCCTACATTTTTGGCACCTTGCAGACGAAAAACATCGCTCCCGTAGCCATCCGTTGCGCTTACGGAGGTGTTGAGTTTGAGTTTGAGGACACAGAGAGAAATTGGATTTGCTAAGGATTTGGATAGGATTTGCTCTTGTCTTTTTTTATTAAGTATGTTTGAGTTTGCGTTTAACTCATCAACAACTGTGCCCAGGATCACATTCAAAATTTACGTTGAAAAAAATACTGTTTATAACCTAAAAAAGCAGGTCGAAAATTATATCGTATTCATTATGTCTGGAATTGACACATCGCTTATTCTATCATTTTCGGCATTTTCCATAATACATGACGCATCTACGACTAGACATTCAAATTGTCATAAAAATAATTACTCACTAATTCATTTAGAGATTGAAAATGAGAATATTTTCCTGTTATACCAGATTCATTCAAGATTATAAAACAAAAATCATGTTTGACATTTAACATCAAATAGTCCAATAGCCATAATTGTTCATTTGTGGTCGGAGTTTCCTGGATGACTCGACACTAGGCAGGCTGGGTTTGGTCATAATTATTGTGTCCTTCTGTCAATGAATATGTTGTATAGAGTACCTGTCTACAGGTCGTGTGGGGGATTGACAGAAACTATCAAATGGATTAAATGGAGTTTTACATCCTACTTTTCTGTAAGATCGGAAGAGTGATTCGGGTGTAAGAATTTGAAATTACATCTCGACCCATGCATAGATTGAACCGCAGACATCCAATTAGGATCTAGAGTAGGGAGTGGTACGGGTATGAACAAGTCGAGCGTTTGGTTGGGAAGGACATTTGTGATGTTTCTATTTATAGGCGCTATCTTTTTTTCACCACAGGTTTAATACAAAACGCACTACGATTGTACACAAATCTTCATTTTTTTTAGGAATCTAATCAATAGCGAGAGAAATGACTTTTGCGTCCTTTTTTCTTCAGGGAAGTAGTGAGATTAATGTTTGTTTTATGAACATTACGTTTATCTTATAACTTTGTTCCAAAACAGGTCGATTTTCAAAATGTTTGCACCATTTAAACTCTTCTCATATTATGATAAGAGTCAAATCCCGGCCAGAAAAGTCGCTAGAACAGACGTTTATGTAATTAAACATAAGGATATTATAAATTAAATAATCAATCTGATAAATTCATCTATATATTTTCTGTATGATTATTTTCTATAGGCTCCTTCACTCATTCCAAAACATTTATTTTGCTTCATCATGTCAGGTGAGTCACACCAGCAAGTGACTCATTGAAGTTCTGTACAAGATAAGGATCGGCTACAGACCACGGTAATGAAGGCGATTAACATTACAGACATGAAATTAAGTACACACAGACTTGCTACAAGTTATCTTTTACTAGTTAACTAATCTCTCGGCAGGTGGCGTCTCACTTTATTTGAATATTAGCCAAATGTGATTAAGCTATTAACAGTTAATTTCGTTTCTTCACATCAGGGGGGCAGCACTGATATAAAAACCAGTTCCGCACTTAATTATGTAGCCTTGATCCTGTTTTCGAAGTGTAATAGAGTGGCGCATGTAATTGCTGGCTAATCTTGTACGTGAATATAAAACAGTGTGACGTCATGACAATGTGTAACATGAGCCAGAATACAGAAGCAAAATATCTAAGTGATACTTTATTTTGTACAGAACTCGTGGTTTCGTTGCACAGAGTGGTTGAAGTGGTAAGGCGTTGGTTTAGTGAAAATCTTTTTTGAGAATAATTATGATCCGTATCTGCAATCAAAGTATTCTCTTTGAGGCAATCGTACAGGTTTTCTGGTCTTTACTTTGTAGTGTGATACGCTAATTCACTAAACTCACATAAACTCAAACATCTGATTCAATCTGGATTTTTTTATCAGTTCATGCACGCATAACTACTTTAAAAAAAATAGGAGGGGAAGGCGAGTATGGGCACCATGATTTTCATCTGTTACGACAAATATTTTACAAATACATAGAATGATGTCACAACTGTCAATAGACCGAAACATCTTTCTCTATTCCAGCCCCTTATAGCTATTTGAACAGATGTCAGCTGGTGTATAGACAGAAATAATAAGCCCTGTTAAATGGGGACATTCCGCACCTCTGCAAGTGCAAGGGTTTAAACCTATTTAGATACCTTGGATCTGCAAAACCCAGGTATATTTGGAAAGATGAATATTTTTGTAGTTCAGCCATACCATCATTGTCTCCGTAAACCATTTATTTCATGTCTCCGGTTCCATCAAAGTTTTATTTGGCGAAACTGATCTAACAAAACGAAAGTTACGATGATGCCCAACACTAATTTACAATCATCTTAAAGGTAATTCAATATTATGTTAGAGAAAAACGCATCTTTGGAGGTGTGGAAAATCCTGATTAACAGTCTTTTTCTTCTGACTCTTCTCCAGCTGTCAAAATATCCATCAGAGGCTAGAATAGGGGTAGATGTTTCAGACTAAACTGTCAATTAAATCTTATTGAAAATTCTAAAAGACTTACATTTGAATCTAGATCAGTTCGTTTCAATGGTTTACTGCCCTTTTCTTCTATTTCTAGTTGACCAGAAGCATCAGATACTCTGTAAAAACAAGAACCAAGTGAATAATCTTTGACTGTGAATTGTGGTTAATGGCTAGAATATTGGTTTAATTGAGGCTAATCTCATTTTCATATCTTGATCGGAACTTACTACCAAATCACATACATAAAACGATAGAATTTAATTTGACTTCATACAATCCTTGTTAGGTATAGCAAGTGTCAGATTATGATCTTTGTTTTGATCATTTCGATTTATCAAGGCTTCACTGACCGATAAGATGAATTTAATGCATGATGTAGATAGACTCTGGCGCCTAAACTATACCTGTCTATAAACAGGATATAGTCGTGGAGTGTTCATTGAAATTGCTGTTATATTTTATGGAGCAAAAAATTAAAATTTGAAGACATTGGTCATAATAACTGAAGTATTGTAATTAATTTTCCCCCATTACCAAAACGGAAGTGGATTTTCAAACCAATCAGACTAAATAACCAATAGAGCCTCGTTCAATTACAAAGATATTAAACAAACCAGTCCAGGCCCTCTTTTGTCCAAGCTGTGCGTAGACAAAGAGGGACTGGATGACAGAGGTCATGGTGTAGGTCTTCAGATTGGACAATGTCTCAACCAATTCGTGGAAACAAAGCATTCCTCCAAATTGACTTTGAAGTCACCAATTCTTGCTGGCAAATATATGATACTATTATCATTTGGCAGATTTGAAAAATGTGCCCGTTGTATTATTGGCAAGACATTGTTATCCATCTTCGGTATTATCAAAATGAATTAAGATTTTTGTCCGTCATTCATTCAATCAGAATGGAGATAGTTGCATACCTCATCAATTTCACATTTTCCTGTTCCATTCTTTCAAACTCGCGATCATCACCACCATTTTCTTCATTTTTGATACTGATCTCGCCTTCTGAACCAAGAGCTTTAAAAAACTTCTCATCCGAATCCCATTTCTCATCTGGAATCAAATGATGTTTCATATCTTATTTTTTGCACCTTGGGCTGATGTACATAAGCATCACCTTGCAGTGTGTGGTGAGGGAAATTTTGACAGGACTCTTGGATGAAGCAGTATATACTCTCATAAAAAAATATTAAAATGCTGATTATGCATATTTAGGTTAACGATCTGAACACTTACTCTTATTCAGTGAGGTCGCTGTTTGTTTGTTATATGTGTGAACTGGTATAAAAAGGTCAAGTAGAATCCTAGATAAAATTGCTCAGATTTTGATTTCTCTCTTGAAGTTATTTTGAGAATGCTCTAAGCTAAAGGGGTTTGACGCATGATATTATCCATTGAGGAACACAGTTGACCACAAAACTTGAGACCCACTTGCATTAATGCGTTGTAGTCTTGTACACAAAACTGTAAGTACAACATGTATTCTGGAGTTATGTCCCATTATGTGGGGAACATTACCTGAAATAGCTTACCTATAATGTATATCTGAGCCTTTCCACCTCGTTCTTCATCTTTGATTCTTTTAGCCACCTCGGCTCCCTGGAATTACGTAAGATATTTGAAAGTGTTCATCGATAATCGGTCAATTAATGAAAATGAAAACTTGAAACTTTTTGACACATGAGCATCGTTATAACGTTAATAACCTAGGTTCCAAGGATGCTATTTTATCAATGATCTTTGCAAGCTCACGCATAATCATAGAAATATTCTGAAATATTAGAATCAGCTTGAAGCGGACGTTAACTTGCCATCTACCAACCAAGAACAACTATCAACCAGAAAATGGAACAATAAAAATACCTTGATTTTCTCCATCATACTGCTACTAGGACCATTCCAGATATAAATAGTGAGACCAGCGTCCAGTATAAATACATCACCTTGATTCAGTGAGCTTACATCACATTTCACCTGTAATATAGTCAGACAATGCAGGGGTGACCTTTGACAGTCTGAATTCATCTTTATGGTTTAGCATCCCCGAATTGGATGATGAGTACCCTCTTACTACAAATTTGAACCAAACTCTTGTAGATGACTTGAACTTTCTGAGCAATTCCATGTATTTCTATTTAAAATATGACTTTACATTTTTTAAATAAATACCTTACACCAAGGTCTCAACTGGCGGCGCGCGCGCCATTTCTGGCACATCAGCGGATGGCGCGCGACGGAATAAGAAAAAAAAAGGTTTTTCGCCACATTAGTATTCTAGTACGAAGAGTTTAGAAAATAAAGAATCGAGATTTCTTAGTTCAGGGCCTACCAACTACAACAAGTGCTTTTCACGGTCAACATCGTATGAGCATGAGCATATCGTCCAGTGTCCGTGGCGCTTTAGAAATTCCAAACAATGGAAGTGGCACTTCAGCTTATTTACTTGAAAAACCCCCCTCTACAACTTTCATATGAAAACTTGTCCGTGCATTTTACTGACATATTATCATTATTGATATACTGTTGACATTGTTGGCATAACCAACGATAGCTTACAAAACGTCTATGTCAATCTTCCTTACCTGTCTCACTCGGACATTACGTCTACCTTTAATATGTAATAACCTAGTTTCATACACATCTCTTTCAACTTTCTTAAAACCCGACTCTATACCACCTTCTAAATATCTGGAAAATATCAACAACTTTCTTGATACTACAATCTAGTGGTGGAAAGGGAGGGGGTGCATGGTCCAACATAAAACAAGCTGGCCCGGTCTCCCCACTTTCAAATTTTTCATCATTTTACATAGTGAAAGAATAGCCTGCGCCCCGCCCCCTGGACAATTTTGTGGCCCCTGCTCGGCCCCCTCACCTCATGTTCCATAGAAATGCCACTGAATATACTTCAAAGGAAGTCCTTCCAAAATTAGGGTAGTGAAGACAAACATATATCTACAATGATAGAATTATAAGTTCAGGTTCAGGTATACCAGTTGGTCCGTGGCCATACCTCTTGCATTCAGCTTTCATGGATCATCCGTTCCCATTTACAGCCGGTTCGATTCCAATGCTCTAACCGCCAATGAAAACTACTTACTTAATGCCTTTCTTGAAGTAGGACATAAACAATTTACTTTCATGATCTTGTACCTGGAAAGTTCAAACATCCAAAAATACATCTCAAGTAGTTTTTAATCTTTTTTATTTATTATAAGTCACGCAGCAAGGTTCACATTGCATCAGAATTGTGATCGGGAATTATGTCATATTATTTATGCACCTGATTCTTTATGCCCATGAATACATGGGGCTAATTGTGTCATTTACTATTTATGTTTTCAGGAAAAAGTTACCTCTCGATGTTGTACTGGTGCTCCTCCTAAATAATCATCTAATTCGACAGTTTTATAGGCTGCTATACCTTGTTCATCCTATAATATAATTACAATTAAGCTGTTGGTTCTATATTCCGTAACGCACTTTTGGTACCAAACCCCATGAAACTAGATTATTCGGTAAAGCCTTGTATGTAGATTTGTAAAATGAAGTCTTGTGCAATGATGAATCCATCAGCAACATCTTGTAACTAATGTTTTATTCAAAGAGAGAAATTACACTGTAATTTATGGAAAGGTGCTTCCTTTTATAATAACTTAAGGAAAAAAGTTGTCTCATACAATAGATCCGGAGAGTTCTTATTGACTTCTAGGGCCACTTATGATTGTACAGTTATCACCAACCGTATCAGCTAATGTACGCTATAAGCTACTGTACAAGAGCCGTTGTACAGCACTTTAAGCTAATGTGCCAAGAGCTGTTGTACAACGCTATAAGTTACCGTACAGAATCACTGTACAACAATTATATTGATAACCATCTTACGTGGGTTGTGGTGCTGCCTAGCCAGAAATGTATATCCCATTCCAATCTCGTTCCATTCTTCTTTGTCTGCAAAGGTAGAAGGATATTTTGTAATTGATGATCAAAGCAGTCTTGGCAAAGACGAGCTTGTTATGTTTTGTGTAAAACACTCAGAATATAATCTGTTATATAGAAATCTTTACAAATACCACAGTAAAAGAACATTCTAATGGTGATTGTCCTTGGAAAACCGTTTAAACATTAACAAAACCCAATTTTGTTGAAAAAAAATGTATTTTCGAAAAGATAAAGCATAAATCGAGTTTGGCTAGAATTTTGCATAGCTGGGTCGGGGGCCCGGGGACGTTTCTCAAAGTTTCTATTTGGCTACCACAGTCTGTGGAAACTGCAACTGTGATTTTAATCAAATTATAGTTACAAATAAAATATGCTTGACTCGTTATAATGTGAGTTTTATAGGACAACATTATTCAGAGTATATGTATATTCGACACTTTCAGCTAGATGGAGATAACTGAATAATGTGTATATTAATATAGATATTATATACATTATAATTACATTGTAGAACCAGTCAGCCGCAGCATTCCTATAGACCTAGTCAGCTTTGATATATTTGATAATACCTACAAAAATTTCATCCCTAGTCGGCCGTTTTGTCATTACTATATGTTTTCAGTATTGACGTAATGACGTAATAAATATTCACGAGGTCATGTGATTTTCAAAAGGGCCACTGAACACCCCACTATGTATCCATTTAAAATGTGAAAACAGGTACGAATCTCATAAATAACATAAAAATTTAATTCTATAGTACGAAGCTATTTTGGATAGAGTGAACCACAGTCCCATCTATTATTGATAAAGGGGCGTGGTCTAAAACTAAAAGACAATGCCGCAACATCCGTTCCATAGTTCTTACTTACAAAACAGTACCATTAGGATATCAATTCATCATCTGAACTCAGTATAATTCAAATCCCCACCAAATAATTCAATTGAAGCACGCTTACCTTGAGTACGATATAGGAGTCCCCGGAATAAAATACACCAAATGTTGTTGGTTCTTGAGGCACCACTTTCAATTTCTGAAATAGATACATTCAATTTTTCTGGAAGATGGTTGGGTTTTTAAAGCTACCATGAAGGCTACAGAATAGTAGACAAACAGAGAAAAAGAATTTATCTAGCTTGATATTGGTTTTTTCATTCAGATCCAATAAGTACCTACGAAAAACTGCAAAAAAGCGGCGAACGTTTAAAATATATAGAGGTCTAAATATTTGCTTTATCGACTGGTAGTATCTGCTACACTCAAGAGTTTCCGTAATGAAAATTTGATGTCTGATTTGTCTATAATTAAGGGATTTCTGCAAAAGCGTAGACTAGCGTTGACAAACTGGGGTTTGGAATTTCTATTCTAACAAGTCATGTAGATAATTGAAACATAGCAGAAAAATGTCTAAAACAAGTTAGACGACTCTGTTTGAATTGAAATTAATGCTTATTTTAGAACTATTCGATATGGATTTACAAATTAAATAAATTTCATTTTATGAAATGTCGTGTGGGATACGTTTTCACCTTCATGACAGCTTTAAAAGATTACAGGAATAAGAAGTGTTCAAGAATAAGGATTCTAAACTACGAGGTAAATTGTAGAAGCATTCAAAGTGGAAATTGAGTCATAACTTTCGTTCTAAAGGGCGAATGGCACTTTATTAATTTTTAGAAATATGTTTTTCTGAATAATCAGTACGTAATTGCCATTGACCCTCTAAATGCATTGAAACGATGCTTGCCTCGTTCTGATCGGTACTAAGTTTAAAAAGCAATTTAATGATTCTGTAATATATATCTTTTCTTTCATTTTCCTCATTGTCCACGTAATATTTCTGTAACAAAAATTGGGTAAGTGAGGTGGGGTGGGACAGAGTTTCTACAATTATGTGCTGAAAAAAAGATGGTGCAGAAGTGGAAATCAGTTTAGAATGGGTTTCTCAACCCATTTATAAAAAAATAAATAAACGGAACTATTGACTTGATGTAGTAGCTTAAATTATTCTGAGGAATGGATCTAAAATAAAAATTTAATTTTCACTGTTTGGGATAAGATTTGTCAACTTCATCATGGCTTGATTACAGTAATAGGAAACGTAACATAATAAGGATTCTAAACTACAAATGTTATTCCAATGTTCGTAGTTGATTGGCCTGCAGCATATCTCTAGTAATATGTCAACAATATGTCCTAAGTCAGTTGAAAATATATTACAATATGTATCATGTTATGATAAATATGTCTACAATATGTCTCATGTTAGTGGTCAATATGTCTACAATATGTCCCATGTAAGTGGTCAATATATCTACAATATGTCCCATGTTTGTGGTCAATATGTCTACAATATGTCCCATGTTAGAAGTCAATATGTCTACAATATGTCCCTTGTTAGTGGTCAATATGTCTACAATATGCCCCCTGTTAATGGTCAATATGTCTACAATATGCCCCATGTTAGTGGTCAATATGTTTACAATATGTCCCATGTTAGTGGTCACAATGTCTACAATATGTCCCATGTAAGTCAATATGTCTACAATATGTCCAATGTTAGAAGTCAATATGTCTGAAATATGTCTCATGTCAGTGGTCAATATGTCTACAATATGCCCCATGTTAGTGGTCAATAAATCTACAATATGTCTGATGTTAGTGGTCAACATGTCTACAATATGTCCGATGCTAGTAGTCAATATGTCTGAAAAATGTCTCATGAGTAGTCAATATGTCTACAATATGCCTCATGTTAGTGGTCAATATGTTTACAATATGTCCCATGTTAGTGGTCAATATGTCTACATTATATCCAATGCTAGAAGTCAATATGTCTGAAATATGTCTCATGAGTAGTCAATATGTCTACAATATGTCCCATGTTAGTGGTCAATATGTCTACAATATGTCCTATATAACAGGTCAAAATTCCTGAAATATATCCATGTCGAATAAATAAAGTGTTATTATAATTTAACTATGAATTGTATGAATTTACAGTCATTGAACATTTATGAACAATAACCTGAATAACTTGACATTCATTATTTCAAGTTTATGTATGAATTTTATATTTGAATTTAAACTATACAACATTCTACGTTTAAGTGTAAATCTTTGCCTCAGTAAAATTGTAACACAATAGCAGTTAGTCCGACAAAAGTATCTGGCCCTACACCCAATTCCTCCCCTGTGATATTCGGATGGGATATCGGAACTGGGTTTAGGGCAAGATTTTCATGTGAGTTGCTCCAACCCATTTTTGGGTCGGTACATTTGGGGAATTTTGGGTGTCTAAATAAAGCTGAATGAGTCCATAAAGATATTTCAGATCCTCCACAATCCGTATTGAGGCTGCGACGCGAACGAGGCTGGATATACTCAACTTAATGCCAATCTGCCTGGGTGTTTCAACTGGGCATCCCTTAGCACTAGACAAATTTGTTAACGAAGTTAATTTGGTACATCCTACTGTCTTACAAATTCTTATATGATCTGCATTTTCCAGGCATATGTATGATCAAACATGGCTAATATAGACATGCCACGCCAGTAAAATTATCTGCTGCTTCTCTGTATCATTTAAGAAATATTTGTATACACAATATCATATTCAAATAAGCAATGTTTCAGGTCGGTAGCAAATTATCCTAAGTAGTTGGGAACATGTTTATCATGCTACATAGGTTATGAAATATGTATTTTTCAAAACAATTGCAGTCAATTACTGTCCAATTAATTTGTCGACAAACGTCAGTATTGAAATTAATAAATTGATATATAGATATATAGTGGAGCATCAACTGCTGTTGATAACTCAGTCTCTATTCAAACAACCTTGATGATATATTTTGCAATTTTCTAAACGTGTTGACAGCGACTGAGCGTTATCTTATATCATTATCATGCACCGTTCATTAAAATGAAATAAAATAAACTATACACATCTTTTCTAGCCCTTTCCATACACACAGACAGACTGTATGAGGAGATTAAATTTGATTTGACCAATGAGGCGTAGATATTGTTTAACTTTCTTTTATTGTCTCCCTACTGGTGCATCCTGTTGTATTTTATCAGCTCAACAATGTTCGTTTTACATTGATTCATGTATCTGGTTTATAGCAGAACGAAGTCACCTGGTGTCAATTTGCTTCAAGTACTAAGCGAATACTTTCAAATAATATCAATGCAATCATTCAAAACATAAATTGCTGAGCATGATAAATAATTGACCTAGTTCGTGTGGAGAGTTGGTGAACAGAACGCAATGAAAATTATTGATTTCATTCAATTAGTCATTTATATTGTTTATCTTGTGTGATATTTATTACCATGTTTATGAAAGTCAAAAGCGATCCGGTGCAAAATATACGCGTTCTATCGTAGGCCTTCAAATCTTGCTTATATTTCACTACATCATAGAATATATTCGAGTCTTTCATTTTCAAGCTCAGAAAATGTCATATAGGTCAAAATGCAGCTCTATAGATATACAGGACCTTTTGTTTAATTTCTGTTCTCCGGGCTCCTCATGTCATACCAGACCTGAAAACACCCTTCCTTAAATCAGACTTGACTCGATGACCTGATCGACGTTATGAAAACTTGAACATACAGTACGACAATGTGCTACGCTGGACATTTTAGAATCGTTTACGGTGATGCTTATACTGAATACACCTGAAAGCCAGATCAAACCTAGGCTTGCTTAGATTTTTTAAATCTGTAGAATTCTTATAGGTACAGAAGTGGTGAAACCGTTATTGATTTTTATTCTTCAAATTTATTACTTATCATTCAATAGACTTCATTCATTTCCAATTCTTATTCAATAGAACTATTTCTAATGTAAACGGGCACCTGTTATAGTGCTATAATAGTTAATGATCAGTAGGTATAATGAATACCATATAGTAGAATATATAGGTCATATAACGTGGCACATCTCACATGGCTTCTTTTAATTTCCAAAAATCACTAGACCTTTTAAGGTTGAGTTCCTCTATTTTATTTTTACTTAAGAAACAGTAGTGTGGGGTGGCAGTGCCCACAGTATTACCCAAAATTTGAAAGTATATTTTATTGACTAAATACGGCAGCATTAGTAAAATGAACAATTTCAACAATTTTGCAAATTTTTAGATGTTATCATTACTAGCAGTCACCCCTTTACATCTTAAAAATTGCAATTATTTTTTCCATCTAAGAAAGAGTAGAAACAGAAGTATACAATCTGGTCGACAATAACCCAAAGATTCAGTCACAGATCTCGACGAACATCCGATATTTATGTACATTTTTCTGCGTACCATAGGCTTTTTTTTCACTTCCACAAAATATAGTACATTCGAACTGAAGGCAAATTAGGATATCTATGTAATATCTGTATCTGGCGAAATTACGATATGAAATACAATGTAATCGGGATATTGGAAATATTTCGATAATTTGAGCAATGGTGTTTAACTTAATACTTGAGCTGTATTCATTCTTAAAATACTATTGTTGAAGGTTGAAATAAATAGTAAAATAAAATCTAGAATAGTATACAGTCTATAATAGTCAATCTAGAGAAACTAAAATACTAAACGCCGTCATTAGTTGCCGACTCCAATACAATATGTTACATGTTTAAATTACTTTTAGCTAATCAATAATTTGATAAATATCTGCCCGTATTTAGATTTATAATAAATCTAAACTTCTTACCTCAATTCTCCAAATTTCTAGCCCTTCAGTTTGACCGGCATTCACAAATGCTGGGTCTACGTTCGTCGTCGCCATTTTGCCACACGAGTAACAATAAAATGGAATTGAAATAGTAATTACAGACCCAGCGATTTGCGTTTAGAAAATCGACAATTTGAGACCATCTGTTGCCTATAATGGAACGCATCGCTAATTTGCATATTCTATATAGTCGCTTAGAATTCTATACACTGTAAAATAATAATGTTTGTTTTACATTTTTGAAAGTTAATTAGCAACTTTTAGGAGTTTAAAAAGCAAATTTCGTATTTTTTTAGTGAATTAACCAAGAACAAACGAAGCGAAACCCCAAAACGAAACCGGAAATCCCAAACAAAATATTGGCATAGCAGCCAATGAACTTTTCAAAGAGTTTATTTGATGGAATCGAGGCCTTGCTTGAGTTTCATCCAGTTGCTCATCGCATATTCTTTGATCATTGTGTATCATCTAGATAAATACACCTCTTGTATCAATTAAAGATATTAATTCTATTTGAGATACGATGGATAAGAAAACCAGAATAAAATTTGAGATGGCGAAAGAAGATGTTTCTGTTGTATATTTCTAAACTGAGAGGACAATAAGAAGAAAATTATGAGAATTACCATCTCGCAAAAGCACTCTATAAAGTTCTTGTGATAGCCCGGAAAAAATCGATAAATAAATGATTTATTATTAACCATCAACATTTTTAAATGTCGAGAGAGCAATACACATTCCTAACGTCTCAAGTAAAACTGTGTATGGTATTGCCACCTCAGGCCAATGTGAAAGCACCAGAACATTTCAAGTAAGACATAATGATTTATATATTTTTATACAGTTCACCGTTATTCGTTATTGTGCTATCTACTGTTTGTTATTTATCAAATTGACCATTCAGCGATCGTTTATAGTTTATATGTAACATTAGTGTAGGCTAGTTTAAACTAGTGTTTGTTACTATATTATTATATTACTATATGATATAAATTATACTGAGCAGAAAAACGGAAATCGCATTTGTTTGGTTTTCTGACAATTTTTTTCGTTTGCATATTGATATTTGAATAAACAGTTCACTAATTTCTGCACAATGCGACATTTCTTTCTGTTCAGTATATAAACTTAATATGTTTAACGGTCGGTGAATGTTCAGACTGATTGATAATCACCACTATCACTGCTTCACTTTCTTTATCACTTTATCATGAAATGTTCAGTGGTAATATACTCGTATACTTTGTATATCGAAACGAAAGTTAGATGCAATTGATCTACATATTTTACTGATGTATTTTACAGTGTGAGAATGTGGTTGGGAATATTATTATATACATATAGTGAGGTATTTCATCACATTGATCAAATTAACATAATTTTATGATTTCGAATTCCATCTATGGAAAGGATTGTCTAAAAATCTCAAATATTTATTATATATATGTTTATGTATTTTCAATTTTTTTGCAATGATATCAAAATAAAAGTCTTTGAATGACATTTAGCAATTGTGAGTACGATATATAGACACAGCTTTATGGAACAACAAGAACTTTAACCAGTGATTGTTGTTCCACAAAGCTGTGTCTATATATGATATCAAAATTACTCCCATAAAACAAGACCTAGTTTGTTTCTAACTCTACTTCAGTTAATATCTATCAGAAGCTGGAATAGAGACGGATGTTTCGGACCAGGGGTGCTAAAGCCCAAAATTACATTTGCTAGTATTCTGGGGTTTGGCTTTGACCTGACTCACAGTGTAGCTGCTCTATAGTCAGGAGAAATATCATATTGTTTGGCCTTAGTTTGATGATGGCAAATAGTAACATTCCTCGTGTGCAACGTTCATTAGCTGCTATCAATGTTTGACCAAGATGATGTTTAGGATTCCAGGTTTCGTTTAGCGGTTTGAATCGTGAGTACACTTGTTAGATTGCATTTAATCTGTAATCTGTTTTCAATGTAAGGTAGAGCATGCCTACTCTTATTGTCTTATGAGGCTGTAACATTCCCTAAAAAGGTATAGTGGGATAAAATAATAATAATAAATCTTTATTATCACAATGGATAAGTTTCTCAGTTTTCTTAATAAACTGGCTTTCAAATATTGCGTTTAATGATTTACATTGCGATCTAGTTAATTTGCTGCATATGTTGACAATTTTAGAAAGCTTGTTATAGTTAGATAGTTACGTTAGTTACGATAAGGTGGTAGCGAGTTGGATTATCGTCGTGTTTGATATATCTACATTGAATACAAATAATCCCTTAAGCCAGGGAAGCACTTGCCGATCTTTTGATGGGACACCGTAGGAATTTTACTTTGACAGCATATTTTGACGTTTCGTCAGAACACATTTGCCGACTTTTTATCGAGACTCAGGCTCTCTTGCGTATGCTTTCCTTATACATGTATTTATTGGTTGCGTTTTGAATTGGTTAGGATTAGGATCATTAGGATTAGGATCGATTAGGATACTAGTCGTCGAGGCACATCAGATATGCATATTCATTATGTCGTAAAATTTCGTGGATCACCGAGCACTAACCGTTTAATCCCCGAAGATATGCCCTTGTGCGCCATTGTGCGTCAACCTAATGCTCATTTGTCATAAAAAATGTGGAATAAGCTTTGAACCAACCTAGGCTACATCAGTTTAAAAAGTTAAAACAGAATCGTTTACAAATAATTTATTCCATTGATGTACAATACAAGACATTTCTAAAAACATCAGTTTTAAATAAAAATGGACAAAATGTCTTCTGTATAAATATTATTCAAATTAGATTAAGTTATACTGAATATACAAACAAAAAAATCTTCCTCCAATCAACAACGTCATATCAGGTCAAGGTCGTCAAAGAAAGTCCTTGAACTTCACACATGCTGTTCTTAATCCAACCAAAGTTGAAAGGTTAAATTCAGCCCAAACACGTTAAGGATGAAGAGAAAGAAAGAAACACAATATTTCGGTGTAAGTTGTGAAATTAAAGATGTTAGTAGAAAATTAAAAATGAAGGCAGCATGAAAATTGTGTTAAAGGTGCAAATACAATCAAGTTATCCCCCTTGAAAAAGCTGAAATATAACAAACAGAACGTTAAAATAAAATGCAATGCTGTTAGGTGTATAAACAGAGAACATATTTAATAGAACAAAGTTAGCGCCAGTTGCTGTTCAATACAATGTTAAATTTCACCATTACATTGGTCTGAAAAATAAACCAGTTACCTCCCTTGATAAAGATTGCCAGCTTTCTCAGGTTTATGAATTTTTAACTGTTCAAATCCGATTTCGTTCACAGTTTTTCAAGTTATACAAAACAAACTCAGACTAATTTCAATGTGTCTAAATTCTTCTTGGTTCTCTGATGGTCCTATGATGGTTCTGTGGCAATTGTTTTCGGCTGTTTAGAGTATCGGCGTTACACACAGTTTAATTGCGTCTGTAGCAAGGTCTGAATCTACGTTTGGAGCATATGAAAGGGAGGTAACTGATAATCATAGACCGTTTCACAGTTGAACACAATAATTAAACTTGTACAATGTTTACACAAATTGTGAGCAATAAAATCATTCAAATTAAACAACACAAACATTACAATAGTGAAGATTGCTGGTTATTACAAGCCATGGTTACAAAATGGCGGTGCAAACAAGAATCAACGTTAATATTAGATCAAATTAAAGCCATCAGTTGTGTTAGGATCGAGAAAGACTGAAATTTGAGAATCTAATTTCTATTCTAGATACTGGACATCGGTCTGTTGAAGTTTCATCTTCGTAAAGCAAGGATAAAAGGCGTCATGATTTAAAAAGGTTAACCCATCATCAGCTTTGAAAACTCTGTAAACGATAGAAGAGAAAAGAATGAGCTCATAGACAAACAACAGAAACAAACAAACCGATAAACAAGAATAAGACAGGATAGACACAAAACAAACCGATAAACCATTAAGATAGACATGACAAACAAACAGGTTCTTAAATAAATAGACGGAGAGGACAAGACAAACATGCAGCGAGTATTTACAGTCAAGCAGTGTGCGTCGTGCAAAGTTAATGCGCACGCGCATTGTAAACAGGAACAAGAAGGAATGGTGGGTGATAAATATGGCGGCGTGAAGATAGTGTGATCAAATGGACAAAATGGAGGCAGTGTGTGATCGAGACTTTCTTTGGCGTATAGCAAACATCCAGGTTAGCTGAGTGCTATCGCAGGAAATCTGAGGCAACATTCTTTATGCTGACGTCATCAAAGCTTTAAATTCTGCAAATAAAGGAAACATTAAACTTGATTGTAACCATGGAAACAAGGCTGGGTGAAAATCCACACTTTGGTGATGAAAATGTAAGCAACTGTGACGGCCTGATTTGCAATTTGTGGAACAAACGTCTCATTTAGTAATCTGCTAATTGTTAAGCGAACAAACACAAAAACTGGGCTTTAGGTCTTGATATTACTTTCACGATTTCCGTTTTTCTCCATCGGATCCTAAATATATTATATCATACTAACCTTCTTGGCAAACCTGGTGGTTGGAATCGCAAGAGAAAAACGCAATCGTATTATCATTTTATTATAAATACAGAAATAGTTTAAGAGTTCACACCCTACACGAAGAAGACCGCAATGTATATTCTAGAAGTCCATTTCAAGCCGGATCAAGACCTAAAGCCCTTCACACACACATGTACCGTATCGGCATGTCTTAGCATTGATATAAAATGGTCTCCATTACTGACGGTACCATTGCTCTTCCGTATTCCATGCTAGGTTCAGACAGGATTGATGTTCATACTAATTCAAGTCACTCGACCACTCCGGGAGAGATTTGGCATTCAAAGGGAGAGAATCTATGGCCGCACTATGGTCTACGAGGTATCTTTAAATATTGACCAAATTTGCTGCTACTTTTAATTTGGCATAAGGACCACTGAATTACAGAAACCTATGACAGATGATACTCCATAATAGTCACAAAAATGCATGATGGGTATTTCAAATCTTAATCACGATAGCAAAATTAAACTCAAAAACCCCTGTAATCAAACTGACAGATTCATCCAATGAAAAGCCGGTATAACATACACTGCAAACCTACCTTCATAATCTACAGTTCCACTTCCGTCAGTATCAGTTTCAATAATCATGGCCTCTATTTCCTCGTCAGTGAGATCGTCACCCAAACTTTTCAATAACCACCTTAAATCAGCCACGTCTATAACTCCCTTCTTGTTTTTATCTAAAACCCGGAATGCTTCTCTCAATTCTCGTTCGTCCTCGTCTTCTTTTAGTTTCATTTCAAAAAGAGGAAGGAATTGTTCGAATGTGATTTCTCCGGTAGCTGAAATATAAATCCATAGATAATTATTGTCTGAAATGAACAATCGAGATTACCCTCTCTGTTGCAATTTATAACCATCCCAGGTTTTGTACAAATGCTCTATATTATACGCATTGGCTATTGCAAAGTTGATATAAACACTTCTACACCAACTTTGAAACCAAACATTACCTCTTTATGATGTACAATTGCAAATGTGATCGTTGCACGATTAGATAATTCTATGGGACGTAACTCTAATTCTTCTAGAAGCGACTATATCTGACAAGTACCCAAGTAAGATCAAAATTCGGTCAACTCATATAACATGCCAATTTACTTCACAGAGTGGTTCAGGTCTGGTATTACCATTGTATAACTATTCAAATTATCTCTTGACTCATGTAATATGTGTAGAAAGGATACATACAAACCAGAGGTTCTGACGTGTGTTAATAATAATTCTAAGATAGCATAAGCACAGAACACAGTACTTTTAAAATGTTAAGAAAAGATGGTAAGTAATGGAATAGTCTATTCTCAGTCAAATTGTTAAAATACATGATGTCAAATCCTCATATAATATGAGCTTTTGTTGAAGGTCTTCTGGGCTGCGATATATTATTCCGTTGCCTCTGAATGTCGGATGGCCATCTCATTCTCGCTGTCGGCAAGCCAACAACTGTCAACAACACCTATCAGTTTCTGTGCTAGAACAAGCAAGTTTAAATAACAATCAGATACCATGCATGGGCCAGAAACCTTTTTGAGAGAAGGTATCTGCCAAACTATGCAGAATTCACCAAGTGTCTGGCCGATCATCGACTCACCAATGAGTCTACGGTACCCTGCTACTTCTGATGTTGATTCTAAATCCCACACAGTCAACCACAGCTACGAAACAAATACAAAGCTGATAAGGATGTAATTGATCATGTTTTCAAACTGACCGCTACAAAATTATTGCATGTTATGCCTTTGACTCCATAAAACAGATGAACTGGAAACTTGTTGTTGATGTTAAAGATTATAACTACAAACTCACTTTTCCAAGGTCCTTATCGTTAAAGCATGTACATCACAATCTGCGAATTTATACTTCCAGTGCCGTAGAAAATAATATTGTGTGATTGAATACCATTTCAAACTATGCTTACCTTCCTCGTCGACCTCATCTGACCAATCCTTGACTTTATCATCAGGAACATGTAAACCTAGACTTCTAAATACTTGACCTAAATGTTTAGTTAGAACCATTTTATTGCCTTTATGGTCGAACAGATGAAACGTTGTGTGTGCATCTGAAATAAAAAATAACTATTAATAAATGCATTGATCCTCTCCTTAATGCCCCCATTTCACCAGGGATTGTTTTTTTTCCATCGGCCCGATCTGTACCAGATTGCCCCGTTAATTTATTTTTTTGATGGGCCACCATGAAACGCCTCAAATCGTCCCCTTTTTTTTGACCCGATTGAGTCAATTATTATAAAGGGACGATTCACAGACGTTCCTCGAGCGATCGATTTTGCGTAGGTATACGACAAAGGCCCGGTTGAGAGCCGATTCTCACCGCAAGAGAGCGATCTCCTTACGTTGTTCGGCCGAGAGTGACCAAATGTAGACGTAGGTTGACAAAGGGAGCCACAGGAAACCGAAAGTCCGAAAGTAAAAGATCTTCGGACGGTCTTCGGTCTTCTCGAGCACTACCTTATACCTGTTGGGACGGTCTGGAGCCGAGTTTAGTAAAAGGAAGTTACTATCTTTAAACATGTTGAAAAAAGGTGGAAGAACGGCAGATAACTGCAGCTAGGCGACCGAAAGCGTCCAGTCTCGCGCAGGGATCGTCGATTTTCGGCCTGTTGTAATGTTGTACCTTCGGATACTTGCGAGCACTTTCCCGAGAAACGAGTCAATCGTGCGAGGAACGTCCGCGATTACTCCTACCGATGCCAGAGTCCATTGGTCAATATTCAATCGGGTAAAAGGGGTCGATTCATGACGATCAGATTCGATTCGGGAAGATTAGAGGTGACTTTTATAAAATGAGGCCGATCGACCAAAAATAGATCGAGTACTTGCGAAACCAGAACAATCGTCTTTAACTACATCCATTCTTTCCAGTTATCGAGGTCAATCAATCAATCTTAAAGACTTGATACAAAAGTATACGTAAAAGAAGAAAAGAGAATAATGTTTTCGGCATACCTCGCGAGCTGTTTTGACACTTTGCACAAATTTATTGTGTATTTATTGCCACGTGTTATTCGTCAGAAACGATGTGTTGTTTATTCGACTTGAGTAAATCACTTCTTAGATACTTAAACACTGCACTATCCGATACAAATGTTCTCAAGTTTCCTTATTACATAGCCTTGTTGTGCATAGTGTAGTCCTGTTCTATTAGAGTGTTTTATGGTGTATAGTGCAGTCCTGTTCTATTACAGTGTTGTATTGTGTGTTGTACTGTTCTATTACAATGTTGTATTGTGTTGTCCTGTTCTATTAGAGTGTTTTATTGCGTGTTGTCCTGTTCTATTAGAGTGTTGTATTGTGTTGTAATGTTCTATTACAGTGTTGTATTGTGTTGTAATGTTCTATTACAGTGTTGTATTGTGTTGTAATGTTCTATTGGAGTGTTGTATTGTGTTGTACTGTTCTATTGGAGTGTTGTTTTGTGTTGTCATGTTCTATTACAGTGTTGTATTGTGTTGTACTGTTCTATTACAGTGTTGTATTGTGTTGTACTGTTCTATTGGAGTGTTGTATTGTGTTGTACTGTTCTATTGGAGTGTTGTTTTGTGTTGTACTGTTCTATTGGAGTGTTTAGGGGAGTAGTGAACGTAATATATCTGTACATAATGTATGTTTTAAATAATACATTCAGACTCTTGTTCCAATTTGTCTTCTATTAAACGATAAACGTAACATAATTACATAGATCAAATAGCAGGAATTAGCCGACAAAATGATTCCATAGAGCACATCTGGCGTTATAAGTAGAGAGTCGAGTACGGGTCAGCTCTAGCCTATCTCTCATCAAAATATACCTTTCAGCTGGCTGATACAGACACAGTTACTCCCCAATATTTATAATATATACTGGTATAGGTACACACGTTACCATGACAACCTAAATATTTGTGGTTTATAAACGCTGATATATCGTACTTCGTTTCACTCTAGAATTCTAGAAGAACGAGAGATAGAACACAGCCTCGTGGACTCCTGGACACCATATTTGGTATCTATGGTGTCAGATTACGAACGGAAAACGTGTTACAAACCTACTAATATTCGAAGATTGAATTTTAATCCGTCAAATCTCTATATAATATCAATTCTCAGAATGAAATATTTGTGTATTTACATTTAGATTACTATTTCAGTTTTAAACAAGAAAATGTTTGTATTCGGCAGTATTTTTATCGGTATCTGAGAACCCGATGATAAACTTAGGATTTTAGATTACATCCCATCGTGTGAGTTGAAATGTCTTAAAGTGAGATATTCAAATTTTAGATTAAGTCAAATTTTATCCATAGTTTATTATTTAACTCAAATTATTAAGATATCTTCTGCAAAGAATAATATAATGTAAACATAGTTTTACGATAAAGCAACGATAAAGGTATATAGTCCCCGAAATATCGGCGTAACCTGTTGATAGAAGAGTAACCTGTTGATAGAAGAGTAACCTGTTGATAGAAGAGTAACCTAGACATTTTCGAAAACCATGGTCCTTGGACAAAAAGTCAAATTCAAAATTGTCCAAAAAGTATTTGAATTTTATTCGAATCAAGGAGAAATAGTAAAATACGTCCGACAAATTGTAGTCAACATCGTTATGTTAAAACGTTTTTATTCGATGTACTAAGTTAAAGATCTATCAACACTTCTCAATGCGCACTGAATGGCGTCGGCCATCTTAATCAGCCTACAGAGAAGAACGTAATCTAATTCATTTAATACAACAAACCATAGTCATATTTATATTTTGAAAAAAGTAACCGATATTTAAGTTCGTTTCTGATACTGATTGTTGAAGACTGGCATATGAAACCTCGCAATACAAGTGTGTGAATCAGCACTCTTTCTATCTGGTATCTTGATTGAAATCTCTTCTCTTGAATCATGGCTTTGTTCTGTCTATTTATAAACCAGCTACTCATAATGTTACTATTTATACTTCTCTACATTTTTATTACTTACTAAAAATAAAACAATAAAAACTGTGTTCCATTAACAGTCAAATGATTAAATCGTCAAATATTCATAGATAACAGTGTATATACCATTTTAGAAAACTAACAATGGCAATATTGTGAATAAAATCAAACCATGGATTAGTTTGAAATCTATGAAATTACAATCAATTCCATTTTAATTCACCAATACCAAACACATTTTGAAATAAAAATCTGGTTATTGTTCAATTAAAGCGTATCCTTGAAAGGAAAAGAAGAGCTGAAATATGGTTTGTTTATATGTTAAACTATTAAAGTGAACATCAGATGATTCTACCCTATCTATAAATATTATTATTGCAAATGTCTATTTCCATTCTCTTTGCGAGCTATAAAACAAGGTAAAATAAACAGACTTTATGTGCATTTTATCGTCGACAGAATAATCAAACAGAAATAAAACCTGCAAATAAAATCATTTATTTCAACTCGTGTCGTAATGGTGTATACACACATGGTTCTAGATATGAGGCAATTCTCCAAAAATTTGAATCTACCTCGTATATGAACAACTCGTTGTGTCTTCTCGTGTCTGCTATTTACTTTAACATTTTACCACGTAACACTGCATTGCGCTAGGATGTCCTAGAATCGATGTTAGAAGATAAGAACCAAGGGCATGCTAGCGCTAAGATCATTTCGAGAATACTTGACCTGGTAGATGCGACCAAGTGCCAAACTGGATTTAGTACATGTAAACATAGACACTATTAAATATGTCTTTACATCTGTTCACATTGATATCCGTAAGAAATGGTTAAAAGAAATTTGCTTTGTACATGTAGTTTCACACCGAATTGTATCTACTATTTGGTGCTAGATTATGATAAGCAATAAGCGGCGAAATGAACTGAAAACATTAAAGATTTTAGAATGACATGTAATGTCTATTTAATAGATTTAAATTAAAAACTAAGAGTACTTTTTGTATAAAAACCGTTTGTTTGAGGCAGTGTTTCGTTTCAGTATGGTTAATCATTCATGTCTGAAATAGACTAAGTATTAAGCCAGGTGGTTCGACATGAGTATTGTGGTAATTGCATGCCAATGTTCTTTAAAAAAAAGTTATTCGTAATGCATAAATTTATTTATAACTTGCTAATTGTATTTACAGAATTTCAAGTTATTATTCTCCAAATTCAATAGTTCGTTCCATAGTATGACATTCAGTAATCGATTTATCGGTAATGCTCATTTTCGCGCCATATTTACTTCCGGTCGGTTGGATTTTGCCAATCCTCTTAGTGTTGACTGCAAATCTAAAATGAATTTGAAAACAAAATTGGCCACAAAAACAAATATCACAGTCTAATTGGACGTTCAACGTACCATTATTTTGACTTTTAAACTGTTAAATATAGCTGAAATAAGGTTGATATTTATGAGTTCGAAAATGTGCAGTTATTTCAGTTTATTTGATATCACTGTAATAAATACACCTATTGATATATAAACGTGTTTTCAAAGCATTTGATGTTTTGACGACAAAACGGTTCTCTTGATCTGACTTCTTATCACGATTTTATAGATTCTAAAATTTCTTAAATGTTGCTGGCCGGATGGTAAGGGAAAATGAATTATGATATATAAACGTACTTTCAGGTGTATATTAATGTTTTGAAGATAAAGTGGTGCTATTTAGTGTTTAAGAGATTTGTTTTTAATGTTAATTTAGAGCAAGTTAGAATATGCACGTGTATCTCAGTTTGAAATCAGATATTAAAAGTTTTTAAATGTTGCTCACAAGGTGGTTACGGACAATTTATTGTGGAAAATCGTAATAAACAAGGTATTTTTTTTTTTGGTCGATTCATAGTAAAGTATGCTATAATTTTGTCGACCTATTCTCTGATCTTATCAATATCAATAGCGTAACAGATGAAGATCAGATGAAACTTCCACAAAAAAACCACTGTGTACGCCTTTTTATCTAGTAAAAGAATGCATTTGTAACTCTTTATTTGTATAGGGAACACTGATAGCATCAACGTGCATCGTTCCAATTAATCCGACGTCATTAAAAGCCACAAAAACAAAGCGTTTAGTGAATTGAATATTGAAAAGTTATATTAGGTTATTAAGCATTTCTTTAATAACAGAGACCACAGACATCTGACGGTAGAATGGAAATTACAAAAAGAAGACACGAATGGCCCTGATACACATAAAGAAAAGCTCTAAAACCTTTTACAACCCCTTTCACCAGAATAAAGGATTATTTACAGAGGTAGGATTCTAAGCAGCCTTCAGCAATACAGTTTATTATGTATTTTTTCTGGTCGTTTTATTTATATCAGTAATTGTGTTAACTGTTAAATCAAGGCAATTATAGAATAGAAAATAGAATCCAAGAGATGAGAACTGGTAAAGATTCAGCCCAATAAAAGATTTAACATTTGTTAGTTACATTAAAGTTGGCTTACCTTGGATTTGTTTTTCTGTGACCCGAAATTGTTGTTCTGTCTGAAAAAGACAAGAAAGTTATTTACCACATAGAGAAATGATTTTCATTTTGAAATAGAAACATCCAGGCTGTCCAGATGAATCGAGGCTATAAGGTGGGGTTTTTATGCTCTCTTAAATTCTTTTCTTGCTTCAACCAGTCCTTATGGTAGTTGAGCTACTGGCTGTCCAGGCTTAAATGATAGTCCAATCGTTAAATCAATAGTTTTAAATTTTAAAAATAACTTAGGATAAAAACTTTCTGTTGGAAAAGCATATATATATATATATATATATATATATATAAGAAATAATTTTTGAGAAAAAGAAATCTTATGGTGAAAAAAAATAAATTGGAGCTGATTTTTTTACGTTTCATTATATACACATCTGCACTGGATAATAAAATTAATACGTTGCTGTTGAAATGAAATGAATTGCACCATTTCAGATAAAGGCAAGTGGTACGAATATTCTCTACTGTTTTGTAATTTTTTTCCTCCCCAAGTGTTGAGAAAGAAGTTATACATTACAGACTAACAAACTGTTATCAACTCGCCAATATCAATAATCTAGATGATTCCAGGCGGGGTAGATATCTAGATTGTTCTACAATTGTTTATTTCTGTAAGTTCGATGCTGTATTGCGACCTAACACAATAACCGATAAGTCTTATTAGGATAGTCAAAAGTATTTTGGTTTAAATAAGGTCAGTTTGAACGGCCCGAGGAAGCAATACAGCATGACCCTCTCTATAGCGTTACCCCAAAAACATCCAACCATAATTTTTGTTACCCGTATCAAGTCGCGGATAGACGATGTACGGTGTCTGGTGCGATGTTCGGTGCGGGATTATTGATACAGTAGGAAACAGACCAAGTGAACTCGACGTACGGGTCCGGACATGGTGCGAACACGATTCGCTTCTACTATTTTCTACTGTATCGATAATCCCGCATCGTACACCGCACCGGACACCGTACATCGTCTATTCACACCTTAACCATGATTTTGACGATTATTGTAAAAGATTCCTTAGAGAGCTATTGTTCCTAAGTTCTTTGAGGTTCTATTGTGGGTTACTAAACAAGGTATAACAAGGAAATCACGGACTTCATGTGTATATGTTTTGTAAAAGCGTGCACCGATTGGCATTGGTACACTCATCGATATTTCGACGCAATAAATGAAAGACATATTTATCAAATTTTGGCATACTTGATCTTTACTATAGTGTAATCTTGGACCAAGAACATAATTTCTATGTTCTACTCTACGCACTTAGCTATCTTGAACTTTCTGCACCTGAATCTGATGTAAATGGTGATGTTAAAACGGAGTGCGTCCATAAAGTACGTAAAAAATACACCTTCTATATCAGTGTCATATATGTACCTATTTACCGTGAGCAATAAGGTCTTATAAGCCCATATCTCGGGTCTATCTGGTGATCAATATGAGCGGGCGTTAACACGTAGGCCATGGGCTCCGCTTTCGGTTTGACTTTACAACCGCGCGCGAGCTGGTACGCAGGCGTTACTATAAGCCGTACAAAGAAACATAACCGACGTTGGCCCTGCTTGTTGTTTGCCTGTATAACTACGAGTAATGATTTGGTTGTATATTTTGGTAGCAGTTCAAACGGAACAAACAACTGTATTCCGACTATTTATATACTAGCGTTTATTATTCTAGAATACCCAGTACTAACTTACTGCGTTATGCATGGTAATATTAGCTCGAGAAATTCCTTCCACTCTTTTCTCGATTCGATAGAAATCACATGTCCTTTCTAAATCAAAACATCCTCGTACCTGTCAAAACAAGTTTCTGTATTAATATACACCATTAGCACTACTACATCGTACTGATAAATCCTTAATACATTCGACATTCGGTTATGTAACTCGAACTACAACCCCCAAAACATAGGATATGGGAGTGCATGGAAGACAACCACTAATAATTGACTTGTTAGAAAACATTCTGGGCAACACTCTCGTTTATATAAAAGATGGGCTTTTGACAGGTATTCTATGGCGCTTGTGCCTGTTGACGTGTAGTAATGTGTTGCTTGTCCGGCAACCAATCTATGATCAGTTCTATGCCCAATCCTTTTCCTACTTTTACATGTATCAGAGTATCTCGGATTATAGTACCACGTACAGCACTGTATGACCTATTTCTATCCATACTAAGTATAGGTATGTTTTTTTCTATATCTACCTTACTGCTATAAATATTAAGTAAAAATATGGTTCTCTATTGTTTTCTTTATCTGGATTCTAATGAGAATTGCTGAATTGCAGAACGATATGGGTCAAAGCACCTGCATTCACTAACGAGGCAATTTATTTTTGATGTTTAAGCATGCAAGGAACTTTATTCATAACTGGTAAACAAACTAATTACTAAAGCTTACATCGTAAAAAATAGCAAACCTCTGATATGGAAGTTAATTTTTCCAGAATATCACGCTTTGCTATAGTGCATTTCTTTAAACTTTTAGAGATTGGCAAAAATGTCAAACAACGACTCATTAAGAATTTGTTTTACGCTGATGCACCGAATATCTTAGGCTTTACAGAGTAATTTTCATCTTTATTCACGCTGTTTTGTTTTTCATGATCCACATTATAAAAAAATAATTCTAATCAAAATAAGTTAGTCGTGAACCTAACATTTGTTTTGCAAACAAAAATGCCAACTCGATTGAATAAACCACATGGTATTTAAAGTGCATTACCGGGACAAAAAACGTAAATAATTGAGACGAAAACATGAACATAACTGAGATGCTAACGATTCTCGTGTAAACTCGATTTGTTAGCAATGATCATAAATATACACAGATACTTATATTTTTGTTATCAGAAATGCCACATAAACATTGTCAGGTATGTTGCAAGAATTACAGAGTGGCAGCAGGTGTTCTGGAATGGTGAGCATGACCTGCTTCTCTTGGTACAGAAGTAATTGCAATTGCACTTTTTGATTCTGCGTTGGCTCACATTTTTTACACCGAAATACCCCGTGCTGCGTTGTACAACCTCCAGAGTTTGATAACCTGTGTTAACTGTAAACAAGCTTATTAGCGAACGTCATTACTTTTGACAAAGGCATAGTAGTAAAATCTTCTAATCGAGGACTTGGGAAACAATACGAGGCACAATTACCATTAACTTCACTGTCTATCTGCAAAACAACCGTATGCAGAAATTTACTTATTGGTAAACTGCTGGAAGCGGACGTTAACTTGTCGTCTACCAACAACTACCTAGCCGTAGATATCAGCATCTGCTGGAAGCGGACGTTAATTTGTCATCTACCGAACACTACCCAGACTGCGATATCAGCCTCTGTCAGAAGCGGGCGTTAATCTGTCGTCTACCAACCAACCCAGGCTATCAGCCGTTAACAGACGTTAACATGACATCTCACAACTAACCTAGACTGTGATATAAGCCTCTGTCAGAAGCGGACGTTAACTTGTCATCTACCAACAAACCTAGTGTTTGACACCAGCTTCTGATGGAAGCGGGCGTTAACCTGTCATCTACCAACCAACCAAGCCTGCTGTATCAGCCTCTGTTGGAAGCGGACGTTATCATGACATCTAGCAACTAACTTAGACTGTGATATAAGCCTCTGCCATTTGTCAATTTGTCATCTACCAATCAATCTAGACTGTAACCGTTGCCAGGACACGTGTTCTCTATGTTGTAATTAAAATACATAGATGTAAAATTGTAACATAATCCGTGATTACCCCGAGAGAAACTATGTAATATAATTAATTATAGATCAGTAATTAAAAGGTGGAGGTAAAGTAAATATTTGTAAGATGCTGAACTAGAACCATATGGTATTGTTTAGTTCTGGTTTATCTCCAGATTAAAATTCAGGTTAAATGTTGAAATAACATCGTCAGGAATTATCGTAGAAATACTGATACCAGTCTGACGTTTTACTAGAAATGATAAGCTTCGACTACACACGAGTTGGTCCATGCTCAATATTCGTGTGGCTATGTAAGATAGAGACAGCACCCGATTTCAAACTGTCAGTGATGTCGGTAGAAGTTAAACTGACATGGTGAATTCGAAGGCGGCGTAAGTAACAGGCGGTGGATAAGACCCATGGCCCATTATCAAGAGTAGAAGAGGCTCTTGTGACAAAGTTATCTCAATACGTCTCAAACCATAAGTTAAAATTATTTTCTCCGGTAATTTATGGACACCACCTCTTATTTTAAGTACTGCAGTACTCTTATGTTCTGAGCATTCTATTTCACTTACTAAGTCGAAATTGTAAAGAATTATGGTGTAACTTAGGTTTGCTGCCAAAAGGAAATCAGCAATGAATAAAAAAAAAACTTGATTACTACAAAATATGATGGTAAGATATTTGAAAGACAGGTTCCACGAGTACTAAATCATCAAATCTTAGATAATGCGTTCTCCAATCCTCTATAAACATATATTAACTATTAATAAAGTTTGTGGATTTAAAGAGGATTATATTTCATCTTGTCGGTCAATAGAGTTAAGCTTCAAGTAATCACTGATTATGCCATTAAGATCATACAGAATAACCCCAAAACACGTTCCAGATTGAACTCTAGCAGAATATGTCCATTGTTAGGACCAATCCAGCACGTCCATGATGACCCTTGTGGATACGCGACAGTACCAGTGATAACTCCACTTTTGGAGCAGGATGTATCTTCTTTCGTTTAAGAGATTTCATGACACTTATAAGGTTCAGCGTATATGAAACTTGGTTGATTCTTTGGGTTCACATCATTCATGAGTAGAAAAAGTTGACCTACTTTCTTATTCGTGATAAAATTGGATAAAACTGTCAAAGAAAATACTCCATTTCGTTCAAATAAGACAATAAAATTGAGGTCCTAAAAGCTACAATATGACCATCAAGACGTATCAACAGGTGAAAATCGAAAAGAAGGAGGTTCTGACAAACGTCACTCATTGTACATTAGATAATAAGATGATAACCA